TTCAATAATTTTTTTTGCTTTTTTTACTACATTTAAAATTGTTTCCATGCATCATAAAATAATAAAACTTAAATATTCCCCTGTCTAACTCGGCCTAGTTTCTAATCACTGCTCATCTGATCCCCCCGCCTCTGCCTCTATTTAAGGTGCTTGCATCCAGTTATCAGGGCAAAATTATTCTCTTAGACTTAGACAAACTTTATTGTCATTTTATACACACAGAGTGTATACAAAACGAAATTTCTTTTAGTACAACTCTCAAGACAGCTCAAGACACCACTGGCACAAGGGAGTACCAGTGGTTAGAGGGTTTTTAGTGTACCTTAGTGTTTCTGATTACCTGATCCTGACCTGTTCTGCGTCTCAACCGCTAAGCCTAACTGTTTCCATCCAAACGGTTTGTCTGAACTGTCTTTGGACTCCTGGACCTCTGAACCCGCCTCTCTCTGTTCTGATCTGTTTGCCTGACCTCTGACCTGCTCTGTTTGCTTGACCTGGCTTTGGACTCCTGCTTGTTCTTAGTCCTCCGGGGTTACAGCATCTTGTTGACATCCTACCTCGTTTTCAAGACACGGGCTGAACTGTCAAACCAGGTTAGTGACTCACGGGTTCATCTCATCCTCCATTAGATTTACGTGGTCACAAACCTCAGTTTCCTTTTACAGAGTTTCCTGTGATAGATGCCCTAGCTGCTGCTACTCAGATCATGCATGTTTTAAATAAAAATTTTGAATGATCTCACTGTCTGTCTTGCCTCGAATACTGGGTCCTCTCTTGTGAATCTTGACAGAATAATCTGGCCATAACATGGACCCATCAGGAGTAAGACACTGGTATTCTGAGGTCGCACTTTGTATTTCTCGGCTCGAGTCAGGCATACAAACGATTTTAGATTTTCTGCGTTTTCAGCCTACTTCTGTCTCTCCCTGAATTTTTTTTAAGGTTATCCTGACCTGTGTCTGGTTTTTCTGATATTTGGATTATTTTGTTTTGGTTTTTTTAAGGCTTTTAGAGCTCAGGAGGCCGATGGAATCTGCCCTTAGGGAAGAGGTTCTGTCATGATGTTGATGCTGATGACTGGCTTAATTATTCATTCCATTCAGCTGTCTAACTCTGCTTGGTTTCTAATTATTGCTCATCTGATCCACCTGCTTCTGCTTCTTTTTAAGGCGCTTGCATCCAGTTATCAGAGCAAGATTATTCTCGTTCTTTCATGCCAGTGGGGAGAGGGATTTTAGCTTACATTAGTGTTTTTGATTTCCTGATCCTGTCTGATCGTAGTGGTGAGAGGGTTTTTAGCATACTTTATATCGTTTTTATCTCTTTTACCTTTAAAAGTCTGAATTTCCCCCAGTCTAGCATTCTTTTATTGCACATTTATTCATCCCCATCCATCATTCCTCCCCATTATTATATTTATGTCCCTTTCCCTACCATAGTTTCTAGATCTTTTAAATAATGCCCATGCCCAGACATGGTCCACATTGATGAAATATTATGTAACATTACGATGTGACTAATACAGCTAAAGGCTGGCATTTCTATAAACACCAGGAGTTCAGCTGTGCACATAGTCAGATTATGTGATCTTCAGCTCTTCTACAGCATGTAGATGAATCTACTTTTGTATCTGCTAACAGGTGTGAAACATGTTACCTGATGGGCAATATCACCCACACTAATCCATGCTTGCTATTGTGGTGTCATCACCTGAAGCGAACACACACTGGCACAAAACCAGTGCGTGTGTGTATACATGTGTAATGAGGATTGGCAGTGCTAAATAAAGGTTCTTACTGTAATCCACAGCCCACAGAAGGGTTCTAAGAATGAACTGTGAGGCCTCATGCTGGGAAAATGTGTGTCTGTGTCTGAGACTGACTGTGATAATTGTGCGGTATGTTGTACAACAAATATCTCCCGTTGTAACCAGAAAATTTCAGAAAATAAATAACAGCTAATGTTGATGCTGTTAGAGAATCTCAAATTACCTGAGTAATGTTTTTACAGAGCAAAACAGAGAAGAAGTCAAACTGCAATTGGTTTTGATGATTTCACCTCATATGGCTTCATCCAACACTTCTAAACGCTGGAAACTTCACCATTATTTTGTAAGGTTTAAAGAATACAAATACAATTTATAGTGCAGTCGCTATCAAATGGCAGTTGTAGACTTTAAGTGTTTATGTTTCACATGTATAATAAATGAACATTTGAATATGGATCATATAAAAGGAATTTTTGTTGAGTCATGGGGATGGTAAATTCCCCTACACCCTGTCTAGAGTTACACAGCTCTGGGGCATCTCAGTTCAGGATTAGGTTAGGTTCTTTTAAAAAGCTATTAGCATTCAATATCTTACCCATAGTTAATAACTCATACCAATTTATAAAAAATGTAGTTAGTTGGAACCAGAAACTGAAGGTAATGGTTTCCATCCCCCATGTAGTACCCTTATGTTACAAGCTCTGTTGTTTGACATTTCTTCCAGTTTGTCTTTTAAACATCCCAATTTAATAAATTTTTTTCATCAAGCCACATGATTAAAACACAATAAACAAAAGAAAAAGATCTGACTGTTTTCTTCCACAAAACCTAGACTTTGCAGGTACCAACAAAATCCCACTGTACAGTTCCAAAACACCATATTCACTCCAAACCATGCTGCTATTATCTCTTTATCATATTATCACAGCAATTGCTTCCTGTATTAAAAATTGGAAAAGCCAATGTTATCTCAATTAATGATTTTTCTGTATGCATTGGATCAATGCACAATACCATCTTTGAGAGAGTTTTGCTTCTGTTATCATTTCACAGTTGCACTCCATGAAACTCTCATTTTGTTGCCATGGCATCACAGAACAATGCTACAGCATCATCACTCAAAGGGTCAATAAGCATACATCAGAAAGCAATAACACCAAATCAGCTACATTTATGCTAAAATTTAATGGAATATTGCTTATAATAGTCTGCTCTAGCAATTTGAATCTCTGTGATCTATTTCAAAGAATTTTCCTGCTGTATTTCAATTTTCTTTTTTACATGGTGCCATTTTTCTGTTTTGAAATGAGTGTTGACCCAGTCCAAAACTGCATAAAGTGTACAGCAGCCTAAATTCAAGTGTCCTGCTAAGTTGCACTAAAATAGATTTGGAATAAACCCAGTGTTTAAATTCAATAAAGAAAGTTTATGAAGATTAGTTTAAATAAAACTTTATATACAAAAGTAAGAAATACAAAACAGATGTGTAATTAAGACAGGCCATGATAGCATAAAATGTTTGCACTGATAAGCAGAAACAGACTTTAAAAAATAACTAAGTAACAGAACAATGGAAGAGGAAACAATGGTCTTCGGTGCCTTTTAGCTTTAGCTTCATCACCTTTGGTTCCATAAATAATGCAAAGCAGTCATTGGCTTCATTATTGAATTATTCAGAGAGAGAGCGGATCACAGCATAGGGCCCCAGAATGAGACGAAAGATCAGGAGCTGTCCAGTATTGACAAGGTACAGACAGAAACATAGAGAGACATAAAGATAAGCAGCAGATCATCATCATCTGCGCTCAGTACCTCACCACTACTTTGGCTTGACTGATGGTAACAAATGATGAATTGTTTTAAAGGCGGTCTCTGATGTCAACTCTAGATGTCTCAATAAAACTGTGATTTTTTTTTATCTATGTGTGTGCATTGATCAAACTAACTGAGAAAGTAACGTCGTAATTATTTTAAACAGTATCTTACCAGTTTATTGGTATCAAGATGCACCACGTTATTCAAAACTACGCGAATATGAGTTTTCTCAAGTTTGTATAGCTTTAAATCTTAGAGCGTTATCCTTCTCTGTGAATTACTGCATATTGACAGTCAGCTGACGGAATGAACTTCCCATGCAAATACGCATTTGGCTGTTTGCATATAGGTACAGACAGCTAATATGTTGAAACAAATGGACCACAAAGGTCACAGTTTTTTGAACCACAGTTGGTATGCTATGATGAATGTACCTGTTCAGTAGCTGCAGGCTGTCTCCGAGCAGATAGCATTACCGATAAACTACCTTATGTCATCATGTTGTACATGTGTTGCAAAATCTGTTTGAAACTTTTAAACTTTTTTTTTTTTATATCTATATAAAAAGAAAAACATGCAACATTTAAACGTAATTACAAAAAATTCCAGCTTTTTATTTTCAAGTCCTAGGACAAAAGATGAAAAAATGCCAATTGGTTAATTCTGGTGCACTTACAGCCAAACTTATTACTATACAGGGTTGCTGTCAAATGAATCAATAAACTACACTTAACTGCATTGAGAATCCGTGCAACATCCTAGTTCTGTTTTCAGATGTTAAAGTAGCACAGAATACGAGCCCACAAATACTTGTTCCCGGTTCAAATCATATTTATTAGGTAATACTGAGAGTATTTAACTGTTAAGAAGTTTCTTATAAATGTACTTACATTATTAAACGTTTTGGCTTGAGGTGGATTTTAGTCCTTTTTCACAACTGATTTGTTTGAATTCAGAACCACCCCTTATGGAAACACCTGGATTACATTATAATAATTGTAATGATCAGTATTCTTATATTGGTTTATCAGCATTATAAATAATTGTTTTTGTTTTAAAGCAATCCAATTATGCAAATATTATTTTGTTTTAAGCATTTATAATTGTACCACAAAAGAGTGAATTTCATTGGAAGTTCATCTTAAAATATAAGTCCCCCACCACCACAGTGGACTTGGATGTCCATAATTTTCACTTGAGGCTGGCACAAAGTGTCACCAAAGGGTTGATCACCATGGATGCACCATTTCTTTAAATGGTACCACACCCAATTAAGATGAAAGACTCATCAAATAAATGTTCATAATGGTGGTGGTAGCATGTGGTATGTGACTGTATGAGCTGCATAATGCATGTCAGCTGAAATTACTTTTAAGGTGGAAGACGAGGAATGGGGGGAATAGAGGACGGCACTTACATTCCAGGTGCTTTTTCTTGGGCGCCATCACTTCGTGAGTGGTGGCTTTGCAGACAGCTCGGGCCATATCTGATCCCGTTAGCTGGTACTGCGCAGCGGCAATGCGATCCGTGAGCGTCTGTCCCGACATTTTCCCTCTCCGCTCGATCAACCACCACAGAAACTAATTTCTCCCCAGGGGGACGACGTGAAGCTAAAATATGAACAATATAACCCAGCGATTTTGGTTTTAATCCTTTCTGTTCACCGAGGTGGAATCCAGCGCCTTCCAGGCCTTTGACCTTCTGTGTGGGAGGAAAAAAATGCAAATAAAACGATCTCAAACGGCAGATTTGATGTATCTTTGCGAATAAAATGACTAAGGCGAGTCGATCAAATGAGCGCTATGACATTAGACTCACGTAAAGCTGTGTATCCCCCACGACTCGTCTCCCTTTTGAGGTTCAAACGCTCAGTTCAGCACCTTGGACAGCTAAAGCCACTCGGTTATGTAACATTCAGCGGACTCTGGCAGCTCGTCTCTCAGCCTGCAGCAGTTATTAAAAAAACAGGGCTGCAGAAAGATCAGCGAAGCCTCTTGGATCGCGCAAAAACAAATATGAGTTTGTAAAGCTGCAAATCGCCAAATCAGCACTCCATAGGTCGCATTTCCTCCCGCATCGGTGCATCAGGATACAACGGGTCTCATATCAAGAGAAAAAGGCCGTGGTGTCTGTTGATCTGCACAGAACCCTCCACCCCCGGTGCTCCACACGTATAGAAAATATGCGCACAGCTCTCGATGCGCAAGATGCTCTGAACAGGAAAAGGGCGAAAAGGAATTCCCTTTCCTCCTCCCCTTTCTCGTCTGTTTAATCGGCCAATCTAGCCTCACTCAGCGGGTCCTTCAGTTGGTTTTACTGTCCACGTCGTATCCCACGTATCTTAAAGGGGTTGGCACATATTTTGGAGTATCTTTTCTTATACTGAAACCTATATTTTGAATCGAATATGGTCTCAGCTCTATGAAGTGGTCCCATTTATAAGGTCATCTACATCTACATTTGATTTTTGAATTATTTACCTGCTCTTAAGCAAGATTGACTTCTAGAGGCTAAATGTAATGTGGGCACAGGTATATCATATACAGAATATATACATTATTTTAAATATATATGCCATAAGTTGTATGTATAATGTATGCACTATGTATGATGTCATATATAATGTAATATGCTGTATGTATACTGTAATGCATACTAGCCTAAATTTAAAGAGTATATAATACAGAAATAATCTCTCAGAACATGGGATAAAACTTCATTAACATAAACTATTAAAAAGTCCAACCAATTATTTAATGGTTTATTAAATATAAATTCTAATAACATTTTTGTAAGTTTACTTTTTTTTTTCTGTAATGGCCTGATTTTTTTGATTGTTAAAGATAGGCTCCATGCAACCTGATGCTCTATCTCCCTGAAAAGAGATCACTCGGGACAAACTCTTAAAAAAAAATTTCTATAACTTATGTGTATTAAATAACCAGGAGACATGACAGCAGATTCTGATTGAAATTGTGATCTTACTCAGATCAGGGAATTGCTCAGGGTTACAGAATGGCAGCTGCTCACCTCTGGGCTCACCTCTCAGGAGGTGGCACCGATTAATGGTTAATAAGGCCTTTTATACATTTCCAGTCTGCAGCATCATCATATTTTACATCACACACATTAGCAGATGATTAGACATCCATGGCTCCAGCCTTATCAAAATAGGACAGCGCTCTCATTCCATTTCATAATCTTTGACAAGTATAAAATGAAGATTATAACTGTATACCCAGACGGAGGAACTGTCCTAATTAGATCAAAACGTCAGTTCTGACGCACAACAGGCAGCCCATACCAGGGAGTAATAAACTTACACATTTTCAATTATAATTATCCTAACAGGATGCATGCAATGATCTTTTTTCTTGTTTTTTTTTTTTTATAATTTTTTTATTTAAAACGTGTTTTTTTTTATAATCCTATAACATAAAATTTACTTCCGCATGTCCTCCATCCCTCCTTGGCTGTCTGCCTGCATTCAGTCTCCTATTGAGTCAGACTTGCCCTGAGCAACATGGCGGCCGTCTAAGCGGATGTATAGAAGGCGGGATTTCCGCTAATGAGCTGCGGCCACGTTGTCACGCTGAGAAGGAGGAACCGAACCAAGGCAACCAGGAAGTCTTTCATTGACTGTGAGCACTGTTGTATTGCTGCTCTGAAAACCACAAATAGTAAGTGAATTTATAGAAATTTATTGCATAAATCGTATTTCACATCGTTAAACTGTTGTTTTAAAATCATATTGTAAAGCCATTGGTAAGCGGATTGGTTGATTTTCGTTTCTTAGTTTGTTAGCAGGAAACTTCTACTATAGCTGGGTTAATACTTTGCAGTGTCATATAGCTTGTGGGGTGAAGTCAATAAGTTGTTAGTTGTCTTCACTGATAGTATTTAACTTGTAAAACATAATATTTCTCTTTACCATAATTCATTGAAATAGAGAATTAACTTTGATTGATTTAGCATCTCTAACCCCAGAAGTATCCTAGTATAAATGCAGAAAATTGAACCCCACCCGAAATGCTAGTTAGTTTGGGATTTAGATTGTGAATAAATATTCAAATCAGAATTGGCTTTTATCTTTCAATCCTTTAAGAGGTTGATCAATTAGGTTTTTAGTTTCTTAAAAACTTCTAAAACAAGTAATGTCCTCTCTAAGTCACTGAACCCTTTCAATGCTAATGATCATAATCTCTTTTGAAGCTTTACAGAGATGTCCCATTTTAAAGAAGTATCTGAGCAGTCGGGTCTGCACCCAAAGCCAGTGGGATTAGTGTTGCAGTATGGCACGGCTGGCTTCAGGACCAATGCCAGTCAGTTGGACCACATCATGTTCAGGATGGGCTTGCTGGCCACACTCCGCTCCAAGAAGACTAAAGCCACCATTGGAGTCATGGTGACAGCATCTCACAACCCTGAGGTCAGCAATTGATGCAAACCAATTAGATCAGTGTTCATAAGGTTCTGGTTTAACCTTCCTTTACCTCTTCTTTTGTTTGTAGGAGGACAACGGGGTGAAGCTTATTGACCCGATGGGGGAGATGTTAACGTCGTCATGGGAAGGCTATGCCACCCAGCTGGCCAACACTGAGCAGGAAGAGTTGATCCCAGCTCTAAAGGATATTATCGAGAAGGAGGCCATCAATATGAGCCAGGAGGCCAATGTATTTGTTGGAAAAGATACCAGGTACGTTGAAAAAGACTGAAGACAAAAACAAAAAAATGAATCCAGAACATCATGTCCTTTTAAATGTTTTATGTGACTTTAGGAGCAGCAGTGCTAGCCTTTCAAAAGCAGTATTGGATGGAGTTAAAGCTCTTGGTGGTAACAGCAAAGGTAAAAGCATATATCTGGACTCAGTTATCTGTTTTTATTCTTTTCACACATTCTTGCTGTTTATTTTCCACCTGATCCTGCCTGTTTTTCCTGTTAGACTATGGGTTGGTGACCACCCCTCAGCTGCACTACATGGTGTGCTGTCAAAACACGCAGGGGAAATATGGAGAGGCAACTGTGGAAGGATACTACAATAAACTCAGCCAAGCGTTCTCCCAGCTCGCTAAGAATGTGAGAAAGTGGGGCTTAATTTGGGCGGGTTTTCTACCTCCACCGAAGCTTTTTAATAATTTTTAAAAAATCTTTCTGGCAGGCTTCAAATCGTACAGATGACCAAAAGCACCTTAGTGTGGATGGTGCTAATGGTATTGGAGCCATAAAGGTACGAGAAATTGAGAGTCACTTAAAAAGAAACCTGCAGCTTTCCATTTTTAATGACGGCAGCAGAGGAAAGTTGAACCACCAGTGCGGAGCCGACTTTGTCAAGGTGCAGCAGAAGCTTCCAACAGGTACAGCCTCAAGACACTACAGATAAGGCAGCAACTAATCTGAATGTTTACATTACTTCCCCATGAACATTTGAACATTTTATCAGATAAAGGCAATAAACGTAACTTTTCTAGGGGATAGACCGCACTTTTGAGATAAAGCTCTGAAAGTGTTGCATGAGTTTATATCTATCTCTTTTCATTTGAAATCGCTTTGTGAAATTCTTTGCAACCAATTCAGATAAAAATAAGTTGTTATCCCCCAGGGCTAATTAAGGTGCGACTAGCAAACAGAAATATAATGACAAGCAATACACAAGTAATAGGAAGCTGATCACGTCAAACATAAAGAGTGAAAGGGTATTGTGGTTGGAAATCTAAACATGTAAAGATATACTAAAGTTGCAGCTATAATTGCTATGATTGGCTCCATAAAATGTTGACTCAAAACATTGCAGCTAAGAGTTTTCTAGTTATTTAAAAACACGAACCTACCTTGGGGTATTTGTCACATACTTACAAAAAAACAGAGACCTTGAAGTTTATGGTTACTTAGATTGATAGGTATAGTTTTAAAGTGTTCACTTACTTTTTTATACAACTATGGCTGCAACTAAAGATTTTTTTTTTCAAATCGATTAAACTGTCAATTATTTTTTCAATTAATCGATTGATAATTGGATAGCAAAAGGTTCCTTAAAGAAGATTATTTATTAAATTAAGCCAGGTGAAACTAAAACTTTTCCACTGAGGGGTTCTGGATATAGTATATTGACTGACAAAACCATTTAAAAAAAAATCTTAAATGCAAAAACATTAATATATTTTTTTTACTATTTTGATATTAATATTGCTGTAAGTGGGTTGCTCTGTCAGCTAAAGGCATGTTCTACAGTCTCTATACTATAGTTAATGATCAATCGATTACTAAATTAGCTAACGATTATTTCCATTATCAATTAATCATGATTAATCAGACTAGTTTTTTCAGCCTTACATGCAACACAAAAAAGGATCATATCTAACATGGTTGTGTCTCTGTGTTTAGGCATTGAGATCAACCCTGGAGATCGCTGCTGTTCTTTCGACGGTGATGCTGACCGAATAGTTTATTACTACACAGACTCTCAGGGTGACTTCCACCTGCTTGATGGAGACAAGATAGCAACTCTCATTAGTACCTTTCTGAAAGAGTTACTTAATGAGGTATGTTCTCTTAATGATATATTCTATTATATAATATTTTATATTGTATTATATTTTATATAATATATAATACTCTTTTTCTTCTTAAATACCTCTTTGTACACGCAGGCTGGTCTTGATTTGAAAATAGCTGTGGTGCAAACTGCTTATGCAAATGGCAGTTCAACATACTACCTGGAAAACACCATGAATGTGAGAGACTATATTTAATAGAAAAAATAAATTTATTAAGAAAATTTAGTTATATTAAATGTTTTTCTTTGATTTAGGTCATTGTGAAATGTACTAAGACTGGAGTAAAACATCTACATCATGCAGCCCAAGAATTTGATGTTGGTGTCTATTTTGAGGCCAACGGCCATGGGACTGTAAGTATTTATTAACCATTCAAAGGTCAGATCATCTGATTTTAATCATCTTATTTTACTTTAAATAAATGATTACTCTATAAACATATATCTATCAGTGAAGAAAGGTAGAATCTGTATAGGTATGGCATCACATTTATTTCAAAACACCTGCATGAAGAAAAAACATACTCACATATATGTTAAACTACTTCTGCGCATGGTTTATCTACCAACGCACAACAAAATTGCACATGCATGAGAAACTGCTGCTTTGAGGGGAGAAAAACGCTCTACTTGCGCACCAGCTCCTTGCAGACAGGATTACATGGGGAGTAGTGTCAGGAAGCCTTTGACTGACACCACTTACCCCACGTACTGCAACCGTGGAGAAGCCTCCTGCCACTGTCCCGCCTCTGGCCATTGTGTGAGATCCATAAAGTCAATCAATCAATGGCCAGCTGTTAGTAAAAGGCTTCCTGACACTACTTCATCTGTGATCGTGTCTGCAAGGCCCAATCAGGAGGAGGCTTTCAGATGAGGTTTTTCTCTACCCAACCTGTCAAAACACATTTTCTTTGGTGCGAGGAGAAAATCAGTCTGAGGGTAGAGACACTTTCGAAAGCGCAGTCGTCCTCGAGCGTGGTAACTGGATAGAAAATGGTTTGCACAGTGAGATCCCGAGCACGATCCCTAGCGTGCATGGAAGGAGGTGGCGCAAGCAGAGAGCGGTTTTCTCCTCTCGCAGCGGCAGTTTCCTTATGATGGTGGATAAAACATGCACAGAAGTAGTTTAACATACATGCAACTATGTTTATATTGCTTGTGGATGTTTTTAAAAAAATGTAATGCCAGATATAGGAAATAATATAGACTATTAATTATAATAAAATCTTGAGATATAAAACAGTTTAATGGGCAAATGATACGCATTTTGTTTCCAAATGACTGTAAAAATGTTTTACGTTGTGATCAGGTGTTGTTCAGTAGGGAAGCTGAGGAGAAAATCCAGCAACTAGCCAGTGACACCAACATCATTGATGAGCGGAAGAAAGCGGCTCTGCTGCTGCAGAATACCATCAACATCATCAACCAGGTACACAAAAATCACCATCACTAACTGATAAAAAGATGCATAAAGACTATTTGTTATAAAAAGGCTGATGGGTGTCATTACTAATGTGATTGTTTTCTTTAGACTGTTGGAGATGCCATTTCTGACATGCTGCTGATTGAGGCCATATTAGCCATTAAAGGGATGACAGTCCAGCAGTGGGACACCATCTACAGTGACCTGCCAAACAGGCAGTTAAAAGTGAAGGTAAACAAACACAGCAGCCAGAAACTGCAATATGGGACTTTGCAAAGATACTTCTGCCCCTCAAACTTGTTAGACATTTTGACTAACAAGACCTGTAGCTAGTCAAACTTTGATCTAAGTTCCAGCAGACCTGCAGAAATAAATGACGAATATATATAACCTGTCTAACAACATGGAGTAGGCTGAACATTTAAAAAGGGATAGAAACTAAGTCATCAGTCTTCAAAGGGTTACAGAGCAATTCCTAAGGCTTTAGGACTAAACAGTAAAATGTATTATTAATTAATGCCGGAAACATGGAAGAGAGGAGCGCTTTCCCCAGACTGGCTGGCCAATCACACTCACTTTTAAAGGGCTTTGACAAACTCATCCAGAAGGTGATGATGGGGACCTGGGTGACTTCACATGTTTGGAGCAATACATTTTGATCTCTTGAAAAATGTCTAAAGGAGAGTTTTTGGTCATGAGTTTTTTACCTTAAAGGTATAATGGAGGATGTTCTTTTTCTGGAGGGATCATCAAAATAAGCGGTCCTCCTAATTGTAAATCATTCTGGCATTATGTTTCTGTAAGGCCATCCTACATACTCATCCCCATTTTCACTTACCGGTGGGGAGTCGTTTAATAGGTGTTCCCTTTCAGGAGCAGGTACAGGGCTGTGCATAAGTGCATTTTATTTAAAAGGTGGAGAGGCAACATCTTTTCAAAAATTTCACAAAGATCCTCCACTATACCTTTTAGCTGTTGCACACGTTTGTCATGCTGTGGGATATTAAGACAAAGCCCACCAGGAAAACAAAATCATCTGTGATGCTGAGACTTACCTTATATTTATAACCTCTTCAAACTAACTGAAATAAGAAATAAAATAAAAAAGGAAGAATGGGGCAACATTACTCCAAAGTTAAAGTTTAATAGTAATTGTTGCTTCCATCATTTTTAGGTAATTGTTATTTTTTTAATAGGAGCAGCTTTGTTTGGGTTGCTTATTCATTTGATAATAAAAAGTGCATTTTATATTGACTCAGGCTGTGTTCGAACGTCCGCCCTAGTCTCTAGATAGGACACTATATAGTGGTTATGCCATATTAAACGTCCGAACATCTAGTGGATGAAAAAGTAGTGGACTTGAAATTCCCCTCAATGCACCTTGACAGATAACAAAGATGGCGCATGCACCGTGCGCAGAGGCAAAGTCACGTGATCAATGGGGAGAGGCGTCAAGTAACAAAGAACAAATAATTCATTACCTTAAGTAGAAATTATAGCTATCTATACTTTACTAGAGTAGTTATCTTTTAGAAAAATGTTTAGTTCTACTCCTTACATTTTAAAGATAAGACTCATTAGTTTTGCTTCATTTAAACTCATTTTAGTTACGGACTTTTTGTATTTAAAACGATAAAAACAACCAAAATGATTTTTTTCATCCTGACAATTATTTTTCTTTGTAGTTGGACTCCGTACTGCACCAACTTATTGTTCACAACGTGCCAAAATAAATGATTTTTCAAGATGATGCAAAGTTAAATTTGACAATGTTACCATTTGTTATAAAACTAAGGAAATTAACTATAAGGATGTTATCATCCAGAATTATAGAAAATGTTCCTTAAATAGGTTAGTGCAAAAATTTTTTTAAACATTTTTCTTGCGTTTCTTTTACTTTAAGTAGTTTTAAAAATGGTTCTTTTACCCTTTTACTTGAGTAAAACCTTAAAGGGATAGTTCGCTATTTTTGACATGAATCTGTATGGCATCCCGATCACCAGCGACCATGCAATCACACTGACTTACCCCTGGCAGCGTCCTGTGAGCAGAGTTATCGTCCAGTTTTGGTCAAGCCGAAAGTAGTCCTGCAGGTTTTTAGGAACAGCGAAATAAAACGTTTCTCTTCCCAAAACATTATGTGTCCAAAAGAGTGATATTTTCGCATCCCAAAAACATTGTAGTGGAAAAAGTCACACGTCGTTATCAATTGGTCCTATTTTCTCTCTGTTCGTATCAGTGCGCGCCGTCATTCAGACAGCGAGCCCAACAACAGCCATGTCTTCCTCCGCCGCGGAAGGAGACATGGCTGTTGTTGGGCTCGCTGTCTGAATGACGGCGCGCACTGATACGAACAGAGAGAAAATAGGACCAATTGATAACGACGTGTGACTTTTTCCACTACAATGTTTTTGGGATGCGAAAATATCACTCTTTTGAACACATAATGTTTTGGGAAGAGAAACGTTTTATTTCGCTGTTCCTAAAAACCTGCCGGACTACTTTCGGCTTGACCAAAACTGGACGATAACTCTGCTCACAGGACGCTGCCAGGGGTAAGTCAGTGTGATTGCATGCCGCTGGTGATCGGGATGCCATACAGATTCATGTCAAAAATACCGAACTATCCCTTTAAGTTAATACAAAAGTGTTTTTAAACTGTAGGTTTTTTAACTTCTTGAGTAATAAACATGAATACTTTTGACAGCTCTGACGGGGAGTGAAAAGTAGTGATCATCTGTCTGAACGGCCAGTTAACTGCGTTCAATATAAAGTCCACTATATAGTCCCCGCTCTGTACAGTGATTGAGGGATTTAGGGGTTAGGGCAGATGTTTGGGCACAGCCTTAGATTATTTTAGTCTGATGTCAAATGTTATTTGATTTGGAGTTCTTCACCAATTTGAGGCAAATAATTTTTTTTTAAGTAAAATCAGATACATAGTTTTCAATATCTTTCACAGGCAAAATTCAAAATGAGGTGTTATGAATAGTAGAGGGTAAACTATTCTAAATTTGTTCAGTTTGTTCATCCTTGAAGATTCATAGATCAGTTTAAGCAAAGCTCTACAGCTGAACTTTTCTAGCTAAAAAGAATTTTATTAGTTCTAATGTATTAATATTCCCTATAAAACATCACTCATCACTTTCTTTCACATATATTCTGTAAGGTTTCTGACCGCAGAGTCATTGAGACAACAGATGCAGAGAGACGGGCGGTGACCCCAGCAGGGCTGCAGGACGCCATTGACGGTTTAGTGAAGAAGTACAGACAGGCTCGCTCCTTTGTGAGGCCCTCTGGCACCGAGGATGTGGTGAGAGTTTATGCCGAGTCAGAAACCCAGGTAGGAATTCCTATTTTATGAACGTTTTTCTTTTCATTGCAGAGAATTTGAGCTTTCTAAATAACTAGGTTTTGTGTTTGTGCTTTAGGAGAGTGCGGATGCTCTGGCTCATGAGGTCAGCCTTGCTGTGTATAGCCTGGCAGGGGGAGTAGGAGATGAACCTAAACCTCTGAATTAAAAACCGACTCACACACTGTAGCTGCATGAATTTGCCAAATCAACATTTTTGGAAGAAATCTTGGTGGGTTTTCATTCTTTAAATATTTTTTTCCAGGGAGGTGCTATTATGTCATAATGTTTAACTGCACTTTTTACTTCATTCCTTTCTTTATAACTGATTAAAAAATAAGCACAACATGGAAAGTGGTTTTGAAAGGGACATGTTAATGTATGGAGGTAGATTTATGTCATAATAGGTTGCACTACATTGTACATATGGACAGCATGATGAATAGATCAGGTGTTTGAACTTATTTCTAGGGTCTAAGCATCTTTTAACCGGGTTTCTTCTTAACAAATCAAATGTTTACATGTGACTTAAAAAACACAAGTTTTCATAATAAAGTAAAAATAATAAAAGAATGCTTTTGCTTGGTGTTTATTTCGCTATTTTCAAAAACAAGTCAAACACAGTAGCCGACTAAAGAGGCAGAGGAGCTGAGACATCAAAGCACCTTGAGTCAGTAACACATGTAAAAGGTTAGATCGATGTCCAGTATTTTCTGTAACGTAGCGCAGGTTTCTACAACTTTTTTAATTTAGTGAAACGCGGGGAAACATTGATGCGTTTATTCTTCCTCTGTGTCCTCAGCAGCTCCAGAAATGGTGACGGTCCACTGCTGAGTTTCACTCACATAGGTATCCTCTCCCGTTTTAACTGTTCTGAGTAAAAAGTACAAATGTGAATGAAAAGATGGTTGATTTTTATCAATTAGGCTGCATTACTGAGGGCCAGCCTCACAGTTTACCTGATGAGGAGCGTCTTCCTCTCAGACTTCTCTGTTGCCTCCTGCTGTAGGTTTCCACCAGCTGGGTTGTCAGTAGAAGCTGCAGCTGTGTCGTTGCTCCCTGTACATGTGTTTTTGGGGCCTTCAAGTTTTAAAGACCCTCCAGGGGGTGTAATTAATGCTAAAGGATCAGAGGGATTCCTGTTGGTGCGTTGAGGGTCACCTGTCAGAGAGAGCTCCCCAACCATGGTGCTAAGGCGGCTGTCCTCACCCTCTATCAGCTTTCTGCAAAACAGTCAGCGTAATCCTTTGAAACAGAAATTCACAACTGGCATGATAGCCGACCAGTTGGTCCAGTGTTTTCTTCTGAGACTGATTGTCAAAGGCTTTGGTTACCTGTAGGTGGTTATCTCAATCTCCATTGCCATCTTGGCATTCAGAAGGTCCTGATATTCCCTCATCAGCAGAGCAGTCTTCTGCTTGGTCAGCTTCAGATCTTTTTTAACTGCCTCAATGTGCTCCTGTAAAGAGAGATCAAGAGAGCTGAGCTGAATTTACCCAAGTTACATGGGAATTTAAACTTGTTGAGGTAAACATCTCATCTTCAACAACTGACTACTTATGCATTTTTATCTGAGTTCCGGCTGTTTCTTTAGTTAGTTACCTCTAATTCTTCCTCCAACTTCATTTGTTTCTCTTTAGCGTCATGGATGTAGGCCTCCAAATGCTCATTTCTTGCCCTCGGTGACTCCAAGTCTTGTTCCTTATTCAGGATCTTAGCTCACACAGAGATAAATATGCAGTAGTTTTTTAGTAGTCCTGATGTTTATAAGCCAATCGCACTCAAAACCATTTCACAAATTCATACCCAAACACAGTCAAGAATTCATGCTTAAAGTCATGAAAAATTATGACTTGGTTTAAATTTACCACATGTTTATTTGCAAAAGCTTATTTTTTCCACAACAAAACTTACTGAACACCAGTAACAGAGTTTTTAAATTGCTTGAAAGTAAAAGATCGCATAGAGACAATGAGAAAAAAATATATATTGCAGATTAAATATGTGAATAAAATAGTTATACTCACATCTTTTCTATAAGCAGTAATTTCCTCTCTCAGAGTTCGAATGCTTTGTGCATGCTTGGATGAAGCATCACTCATGTCCTGGAACATTGATCTGTACCATGCATCCATATCCTAGATGGAAACATGGTGTGCAACTGAATCTTTTATGGTAATCACTTTTGTCCAAAGAATTATTATAGTGACAGCTGTAATCCAAAATGGAAAGGATGTTGCTTTGTGCATTACCTGCAGATTCTTAGCAGCAATGCTGTCGTACTGAGACTGAATCTGCGTGAGAGCAGAGGAAAGGTCTGGGAGGTTGAAGTTCAAGCCCATCCTTGAAGCTGCTGAATTGATCTGCTGCATCAACTCATCGATTTCCTTCCAGCAGACCACAAACATAACATCACAATTAGACCTTGGTACTTTGTGTATCAATTAATGCTTTAGTTGAGGGATCTGTTACCTGTAGCTCCAGAGCCTTACGACTATTTTGTCATGCTTTATAAGTTTGGCCAAAGATTGTTTCCAAAAGTAGAGGGAATAGAAAAAAATAGATTTAGCTATTTTCAGTGTTTTTTCTAAGTATGCCTGACCACTGTATGTACAACACTTTTCCAGTTTTGGGTGATTTGTTGATCAGTTAAGATGTTGAAAGAAGGTAACTGGCTTTATTGGACTGTAATTATGGACTATGGAGCAAAAAAGGTGGAAAAATATAATCAATCACAAGCATTTTAGACTTTTATTGTTTCAAAACAATAAAAAAAAACTGTTGTAAAATAAATAAACTTTGTCTATTTATCCAAGGCTTCATGTTGGTCCTAATAAAATCCTGATAAAAGACCTGCTTTTATGATAGCGTGACAAATCTAGAAGTTTAGGTGATGTGATATGAAAACTGATGCCTTGTGCACTCCAAAACTGTTCTTAATTCTTTTACTCCATGTTTCTTTCCAGATAAATGCCAGGTTGGATAATTCCCTCAGACCAGACTGAGACAGTTTTTAGGAATTTTCATTTAATATATCATCTGTGACTCATTACACGATGAGTGCCAAATTTAATCTATGGACTCATGCATCCAGTGTTTGTTACACAGACAGATGTATTATTACCTCCTTGTGAACTCCCTGCAGGAAGGTCAGCTCAGCCTCCAGGTTCTCCAGCTGCTTTTCCAGTTTAATTCTGGTTGAAGTGGCTTTATCCACATCCTTGGAGCAGAGTTTTGGGATATTGGGTAAATCAAACAAATTTCTACTCCAAGCTGGGCATAAACACTCTAAAGAACCCTTTCTTAATGTATTACCGGGCGCAGAGTCTCGATTTGACGCTCTATCTGCTTCCTGGCCTCAAGAGCTTCATCATATTTAGACTTCAGCACATCCAACTGGCAAGACATTTCCTCTTTGGCTACCAAGGACAAATCCTGTAAAGTATGTATGGAAATAAAAGTGTTTTTTTTAGAAGCTTTGAATAAGCATTTTAGTAAAATGAATGACAAGAAAGATACTAACAAGAACAAGCAAGAATGTATCTATGCTGTCTGAGGTTTAGAAGCAGATTTTTCCTACCCTCTGCTCCTTTATTTGTTCAGCTTCTTTGTTCAGTTCCTTTAGCTGTGATGAATAAAGCTTCCTCAAACCTGCTGTTCTCTCATAGGTGGATTTCAAAGCCTCGATCTCACCCTCTAGCAGTTTGTTCTTGGACTCCAAAGTTCTAACCTAAAGAGGCATTAACAGTAGTTAAAAACCAAATTAAAGATGAATATAAAAAATTTGAAACATAAAAATGAACATATATATAAAATTGATAGATTTCTATTTGCCTTTTCAATGTAGGATGCCAGGCGATCGTTGAGGACCACCATTTCCTGCCTCTCATTAGTGCGAGTCAGCTTGAAAGCCTGGTTTTCTGCTGCTGCTGCATCCAGGTCCAAATTTGTCCCATGTCCAGTAGACACATCCAAGCACAACGAGCCCATACTTGCACTGCTGCTGGTGGAAGTGTTAGATGGGTTAGGGTTCTAGCCTAGCTGCTTGTTTAACTTTGTTTAGTAAAAACAAAATGCTTTATGTCGTTACTGATTGACCATTTCTGTGAATTATGATGACGAAGACCCACCTGGTCAGACGAGGCTTGTAGGTGAGGGTCCTGCAGCCTGTTACCTTCCACCCCACATTTCTGTTGAAGCTGGTTGACCTGTGGCGAGTTTCTCGTCGGGTAGGAGATGGACTAGACACCCGAAGTTTGTTAACATTTACGCCCTCAAAACAACGACGATATGAGGACATTCTCTCTGGGCTGTGGCTCATCGTGGCTATCTTTTAGAGACACAACTTTTTCTAAATACTTGAAAATGGTCACACACGCTTTCCTCTGAGGGCTGCAGTGAAATACTCTTTATACCCTTCATGGTCCTTACCTCATCTCTACAGAAATATGTTGAACCCCTCCCAACCCATGCTTGAATCTTCCTACAAACATGTATCAAGTTCATGTCAAATAATTCATACAGTCTATAGACTGTTGACAGAAGAGATCTGTCATGGGGTTAAATTATCCTACTGAGTTCTCTGTAGAGGGTAAAGTCTCTTTAAGGGCGTTAATATGTGTTAAAGAATAAGCATGTTTTTATTAAAGTTAAGGTAAAGAAAAACTAGTCTAACTCATTTGCAATCAACATATTTAATGAAAAAGTGGGGTGGTTGTTTGCTAAATTTTATTTGAAAATGTGTGGAATTGAAACACAAGGTCATATTTTTGGAAAGAAAAAAAAAACAATTAAACAACAAACAGCATAGTTTGTAGCATTGTTGCCTTGGAGCAAGACGGTCCTGGGTTTGATTACTGGTCTTTCTGCATGGAGTTTCCATGTTTTTCTCTCCTGGTACTCCGGATTCCTCTCACAGCCCAAAAACCTGACTGTTTAGGTTAATTGTCCTTAGGTGAGATGTTGTGTGCATGCTTGTGTGTCTTTGTGTTGCCCTATGATGGACTGGTCACCTGTTTAGGGTGTATCCCGTCTTTCGGATATAGAATGCTGGAGGTACCAGCACCACCACGACTCTGACAGAGCAAGTGGGGGATGATGTATGGAAAACAACAACCAATATTAGCTCAAACATATAAAACTAACTGTCAAGTAAGGTGGTGGAGATGATTGCTTTAGAGTCACATGATTTCGGTGCCTTGCAGCCACTGAATAAACCATGAAGTCATTGCTTTGTTTGTCAAGACCGTTTACATCCAATAACGCAAATAAACCGTGAATTGTTGAGAGAAAAGAACTGTCAGAATTAATGATTAACCTGTTTATCATTTTGTAAAAGCTACTTCCAAATAAGACATATTGGTCCTTGCTTTATGAAATCTAATATAACTAAGAAATAAGTGCAAACTGGAGTTATGACGTGGAGTTATCTTTAAGTCTTGTACAGTTTAAAAGAGGTGTAATATGTATGGCATGATGGGAAGAAGCGACACAACGGGAACTATTCCTTTTCTTTTATGGTATTTGTCAAGCCCACTGGTAAATTGTTTTAAGCCACAAGACTTGCGTCCATGAGGTCATCAGTGTACAAATGGAAACTCTAGAAGATAATAATGGATTTTAAATCGTAAAACATTCTTTGTTTTTAAAAATAAGGACGTTATGGCATCTGCTGTATGTTTTTACAAACCGAGGTAACATTTAGTTCACATTTAATAACGTGTAGATAATTAAAAAAAACTATTATTTTATTTTCTATTAAGTTATCTTGGACATGTAGGTGCATAACACAACGACTAAACTTAAGTATGATTGTCTAAAACTGATATATTTGTTCATTTCCCAAAGTTCATTTTATTAAATTTATTTAAAATTAACGATTAAAATATTGAGTTTTTTTTCAAGCTCTTTAACGTTTCTCATAAACGCGGAACTAAAAAAAATATCAAATGATCTCCGGACGATATTTGATGTTACTCCCGTTGTAGCTAGCAGAGTACTTTCCTTGTTGTATGCGCTCCTTTGTGGGGGGAGATTATAAATTATAATTTTCTTTTAGTTTTAATAAAAATTGGCGACATGGCGGGGAACTTCTGGCAGAGTTCTCATTAGTAGGTTTTCTTGAAAATGTTGACATGTTACGTCTTTAATTCGTAGCTGAGTGTCTTTGTTTTTAGGCCTAACCGTTTTCACGTCTAATCTGACGACTAATTTCTTGAAAACTAATGCTGTGGTAAAAAAAAAAATGCTTTAAACAATTAAAAAACTCAGAGTTCAAGTTTAAGCCCTAAACATAAATATATATATATATATATATTTTAAGTTGGCAGTAGTGTCGCTGAGCTGTCTGGGGGCTTGGCTTGTATGGTTTCTTAATATATAGTTTTAACCTTGGCTAATAATAATAATATTTTTTTTATATTAATTCTATTAATTTTATATATGTCTTTGAAAGTCTGCAGTGGGTTCTGGATAAGCAGGATCTGATGAAGGAGCGCCAAAAGGATCTGAAGTTCCTCACAGAAGAAGAATACTGGAAGCTGCAGATATTTTTCGCTAATGGTATTTTCAATTCAATTAACAGTTCAGGAAAGGCATAACATGACTTTACTGTGTCTGTCAATTTTTAATACCTTAACTCTTCATATTTAAACCTTTGTATCAGGCTTGCTTGTTTTGTTTTGTTCCAAGATATTGCAACAATTTCTTTTTTTAATACTTTTGCCTTTTAGTCATCCAGGCTTTGGGTGAGCATCTGAAGCTCAGACAGCAGGTCATTGCCACTGCCACAGTCTACTTCAAACGCTTCTATGCCAGGTAGGTTTCTATAGGAAGAATGGGGCGATTTTATTACTACTTATATGTGATCTAGTTAAAGAAAGTGCATTCATAAAAACATTTTTCTCTTAATTCCAAAATCTTGTAAGACTTGCCTAAATCGCCCATTTTCTTTCTTACCTCAAAAATTTAAATTGCATGTGGGAAGACCCCGGGCCGGACATAGAATAATCCTATAGATATACGTTTCTACTGCTTCAAAATAATCTGTCTTACCTGAAACATTCTGTACCCAGCAGCTTAGCTGACAAATTGTGCATAGTCTTCCCAATTTAGCTCTTGTTGGATTTTTGGAACATCTCAAAGCTGCTGTATTTATACCAAAACCTCTGTTATCTATAGTAGGGCTGCGCGATGCTAGAAAGTTTTGCAATATTGACAAATGTTGGCGGTATCAGCTGCAATATATTACAACCTCGAGAGACTCGCTCAGAGAAAAGCTGCAGTTAGAAAAGTATTATTCAATTTATTCAAATAAGGAACAAAGTCAGATTCTTCAAAAATGTTTCTATCTAATGAAAACAAGCTGATTGTAAGGACTCGTTGATTCTCTACAATCCCTTGCACTGAGCATGCAATTGGTGGAGCCGAAAACTCCCTTTTAACAGGAAGGAACCTCCAGCAGAACCAGGCTCTGTCATCTCCAAAGCCAACTGGGGTTCAAGGAGACTGTAAACATTGAGTTAATTGGCTGAGGCTGATCAAGAGACATCGCAGGTGCTTTAAGTGAAGCTTCCAGATTTTTGCCTAAGCTTCATGTATATATAGTTCTTTCCCCCCTTTTTAGCTGTGCTTTTTGTTGCTTGTTCAACTGTTTAATGTTATTTGTGTCTATTATGAGTATCTACTGTTATAAGACTATCCAAATGGCAGCACTACATTAGCATGTAATGTTGCACTTCATAAAATGCAGTTATTACACTTAAATTATTCCTTGGCAATATGAATATTGCACAAACTGATATTGAAATGAGGATGTATTTACATACTATTAACTCCCACTTTTTGTCAGCTAATATAAATAACTCTTTTGAACTCAACCCGGGGAATGGCGAAATTTAAATCACATCATTGCTATCAGGTTATCAACTGTACTTAGTTTTAAAGAGCCTTAAGAAGAGAATCAGAAATTTTGCTCTTTGTAACTAAATGCTCTTTATATTATACCACATCTGTAGCATCTTACATATTTGCTTTAGTCCAATCCCTGCTCAATGTGTGCTCCTTACGTCTTTGCTGCCTGGCAGAAACATTAGCAATCTCCTACTTTCCTTTTCTCTCTCTTTTTTTCTAGGTATTCTCTTAAAAGTATAGATCCTGTGCTCATGGCGCCAACCTGTGTTTTTCTGGCCTCTAAAGTTGAGGTGAGAATTTTTCAGAGGAAAAAAAGTGTATGCTCTCTTTATTTTATCACCTAAGGATGTTAATGATAAAAAAACAAAACTAAGCCTTATTTCTGTTCATTGTTTTTCCAGGAATTTGGCGTGGTGTCCAACACCAGGCTGATTTCTGCTGCAACATCTGTTTGTAAGTGACCTTGTTTAATCAAGATCAACAGAACTGTTTTGGGTTCTCCTTTATATGAGGATTTCTGTTAATATTCTGTGTTTCTCAAACAGTGAAAACCAGGTTTTCCTATGCCTTTCCAAAGGAGTTTCCCTACAGAATGAATCATGTAAGTAAAATACTACTTCCTTAATTTTATCTCAGAACTTTGAGTAAACAGTAGCTGATAAACCTGCAGATGTTTTAAGCTCATATCCATTTGGTATTTCACACTGGAGAATATTATTTATTTCTTTAAGTCATAACTCAAATCTTCAAATGACTCTATTATTGTCAAAATGGTAGATGAGAACCAAAGCTATGCATTTAGCAGCTTCCTTCGCAGTGTTATTTATGTACTGTTTAAGCAGCTTACCAAGAACCTCTTATACTCTATCAAAGTGTCGCTACGGTATTATTCATCAATATGTGACATTCCACAGCTAATGTTGGCACTGATGTGATAGAAACTCATTAAGCTTAGCTCCTCGTTCGAAGGTCTGTTCACCTCTCTATAGCCAGCATGGAGTTACCAATACGTCAGCAGCACTGTTTTGACAAACTGCTGCCTTAGCTATAAATTAAAACAACAAAAGGACGGAGAGGTTCATACAGCGCAGAATGAGTTAGCACAGGACTGTGACACGTAAACATATTTTTTCTTGTCTACATTACGGACATAGTAAAAGAGATCGATGCAGGTGTCTGGGGCCTGTTTGGGGGTAAAGAAAATAGTTCTCATCTCTAGAAGGTCACTCTCTCAAAAAGGCAGCTGATGGAAATAATGTAATAAAAACTCTTGCAGGATTTAAAGAAGACAAAAATACTATGATGTGTAAAAGCTCCTCAAAGTACCGGTAGTGAATTTAAAAACCACATAGAAGTTCAAACCCCAAGCTGAAAATATTCCTGAAGGTTTCGGAGCAAGTTTGGTTTAAAGTTAAATCTCAGGGGTGATTCCAGTCTTGCATTTCTAGACTGTCATATTCTTTAATGTTCATATTTTTCCATGACAGCCACTATTAAAATATTAACACTGACAATTACTTTGGCCCTGCAACATTTCCTTATCGTACATTTTTCTTTTACAAAGGCAACACATCAGATTTAACAAACATTAACTTTAGTAAAGGATCCTTGTAAATGTGATGTCCTCTACCTGTGCGTAAGTGAGCACGTGATTCAGAGAAATGCAAATCTTCATAATTACTGGAGCTGCCACTAACGACTGTTTTTCTAACGACCAATCTTTCGACTATTTTTTAGATTAGTCGGCTAATCTTAACAACTAATTTGAAAAAGAAATCCCCACTGCTGGGGCTTAGCGGATGGTGACACCAGTTTAAAAAAAAGTTGAATTCGTATTGTCTGTGTCTGCTCATTCGATAAACCCTCTGTCTTAAGTCTGGTGCCGTCTCAAAAGCATAATAGATACTGCGCTTGCATAGGGTTGCTCAACGTTGTTTACCAAAAACATTACCAAAGAGTCGAGAGGGGCTACTTAACATCCAAAGACAGTGGACCATCATACTTTACAAGATTGATAAAAAGCACATGCTAACTAGATGTTTAAACACATATCAACATACATGCTAATTTCCTTTTAAGAAGCATCTTCAACAACTCCTGTGTTTCCTTTTAAGGTGCTTGTGCATCGTGGTTGTGCTCCCGCAATAAGCCAGTTAAAGGAATCGTACACCCAAAACATGATTAGCCTTCATTTTCTACTCACCCCCATGCTGAACAACACTCTGGAGTACTTTTTTGATATCTCAAATGCATCTGGAGATCTGGGAGGCTTCTTGCTGTCTGCTGACATTCAAATAATGGAGGTCCATGGCGCCCGAGACAGAAAGGTCCATAAAAGTCCACAAAAACGTGTCAATATTCCTCCATACTGCTCGTCCAATGTATTCCAAGTGTCCTGAGTGGGTAGCATCCAGAATTTACTCGAAACGAAGTCATTTAGAATGTTTTTAGAGCATAAACAGTAGTGTATAGGATTTCCTAAAAAGCGCGTTCACGAGCCTACGGAAACCGCATTCAGCGTCTGCTCTGCCGATAATGCAAGCGTAGAAGAAGAAATGTGCTGTTCACTTGTGCAAAGAAAGAAACAACGAAAGAAAAATGTCTGAGGACTTCAGTGTTGAGGAAGAGCAGGAGTTCTTTGCCGAGCTGAATGCGCTGGTTTGGTCTGCTGCGGTTTCCGTAGGCTCGTGAACGCGCTTTTAGGAAATCCTATACACTACTGTCTATGCTCTAAAATGATTCTAAATGACTTCGTTTCGAGTAAATTCTGGATGCTACCCACTCAGGACACTTGGAATACATTGGACGTGCAGTATGGAGGAATATTGACACGTTTTTTGTGGACTTTTATGGACCTTTCTGTCTCGGTCACCACAGACCTCCATTATTTGAATGTCAGCAGACAGCAAGAAGTCTCCCAGATCTCCAGATGCATTTGAGATATCAAAAAAGTACTCCAGAGTGTTGTTCAGCATGGGGGTGAGTAGAAAATGAAGGCTAATCATGTTTTGGGTGTACTATTCCTTTAAGACTTACTGAGTGTACAAACCACTCTGTCACTGGCTGCCTGAAAGTATCTCTATACTTTGGATACTTCTAACAGATGACTCCATCTTCGATTCAGACTGACCTGCCGCTGCCATTTTCTCATCACACTCAAAACCAGAACCAACAGTAACAGAAGCTCGTGACAGGAGAGGAAAAGGGAGTCAATGTGCCAGCAGTGTGCGCACAGCAAAACTAGTGCTGTGGAGTAGAATTACCTGAACTCAGATGAGCCGTTTGCTCAGACCAAAATATATATGTGATAAACAGGCTGACAAAAAAATTAATCATCTGATGTTAACGAAAACTACTGATGGAGGCAAGAGGTGCCACATATGATGTTAATCAGTAATATAGGGCTGGGCGATAATTCAATAACGATATATATCGATCGATAGACGTGTGGTGCAATAGAAAAAAAGAGGGTCGATAAAAGTTCGATAAAAAAGAAACGCAGTTTTCCTTCCTTCTCATTGTAGCCTAGCATGTAGGTTTATGCTAGTCACTGCTTCCTCCCAACCAATCACAATCGCGTCACAATCGTGCCGCCCTCTCAAACCACAACACAGAGCACATGAAGATGTCGCAGCAAGGAGAGGCGGAGGAAATTGTTTCAAAGAAGGGTTTTTGTAGTTCGGCAGTCTGGCAGTATTTCGGCCATGGCAAGTCGGACAAAAAACAAACCACATTCATCTGTAAAATGTGTCGGGAACCAGTGAAAACCAAGTCTGATAACACAACCAACTTTTTTTTTTATCATCTCAGCTGCTCACACCCGCAGGAGTACGAGCTGTGTAGGCCCCGGCGCGGCTCTCCTCCGAGGAATCTTCGGAAAATATATATATATTTTCAGTTCTGGGCAGTTTCCCACGTAGTTGTAACAATTGAGATAAAAATGCTGAGGGGCCAGAAACTTCTAAGTAATAACTCAGGTTAAAGCAGGAAACGGGGGCGGTGGGGGGGCATTTATTTATTTGTTATATTTATTTTGGTCACTTTTCTGGTCACTTTAGTTTATTCTTTGTCAGTATTTAATAACATAACCCAGGTCTCTTAAGTTATTTTTCTTTAAAACAATTCTGTTATGGTTAAAAAAGTTGGTTAAATAAAGATTTAATTTGAAGTCTTTGTTTGTGTTTTTTATTAAAATTAAATCATTTAGCAATATTATAAAAAGTCCAGGCAGACCTGCACATAAAATATGGTTTCAAATCTTTTCAATAATTATCGGTATCGATCAATATGCATTTTTTTTTATCGATACGCTTTTTTTCTATATCGCCCAGCCCTACATTAATATGACTTCATCATTAACAAACACAACATTCTGCTAAATCTCCTTTTAATGTACAGACACATTTTCATCTCTCTCACCACATATAAAACGTATATATGATTAATTCAGACAGACTCCCAGACATTTAGTGTAACAGAAAGCTAAGGAGCTGCCATGGGGTAAAATAAATGCAAATCTCACAGTTGGTTTTTGCTGAACTTTCCATTTTCTTTTCCAGATGTCATTTCATTAGTAGCTTGGTCTCTCATAGAGCTCATTGACTGTTCTTTCTTTTAACGAAATAACAAATTAAACCAGTGTCTCCTGGATAGCAATATGCCAGCAGCAGGTGTAGTAATTGATAGTTCTGTTATCAGCGAATAAAAATGTTATTTCTAATTGCAGAGTTGTATTATATTAAATGATTTAGCATAATAAAAGGACAATTGCTTCTAAATAAAACTAATTTGATAATTTTAGGAGAAATTAAGTTTTGAAAACAGCTGCCTGATTGGGCAAGACTCCAAGAATGTCAAATATTGAGCACTTGTAAAATTCAAAGATCAGAAATAGGAGAAAATGGTGAATGTGAGATTTTCTCCTAAATCACTGGTTCCAACGATTAAACAATTTAAGATTTTGCAAAAAAATAAACAGAGTTGAAACATCTTGTCTTATAGACACTAACATTTTTTACACGTACGACTAGATATTTCATAAAAATAAAGAATAGCTAACAAAAATGAAATTACTGTAAACTGAGTTCATGCGATTAGAATCCATCTTGAATACAGAGCTCTGATGCGTCAAAGTTTTCTGGCTTTCTGATTTGTTATTTTGAGTTCTTGAAATGATCCATTTTAAATATCTTACTTGAATGACTGGATATTCTGGCCTCTGAGTTGATACAGCTTTACATAATGTTTTCTTTTAACCATTCAAATCTAGTTTATGTCTTTCTTTCCAGATATTAGAGTGTGAGTTCTACCTTTTGGAGTTGATGGTAAGTAAATAGTTATTCTACTATACTTGGTTCAATGCCTTGTGGAAGTATAACTACTCTTTTTTTTTAAAAACCTTTTTTCCTGTTATAACCTCGGTTTGTGAGGAGTTTTATTTTTTAGTTAGATAAGCCAACAAAGTATGACATGATTGGAAAATTAAAAGGAAAAAGGAACACGTTAATTTTATTTTCTTGGAAGGAAAATCTTAACCCCCCCAAAGTTAAACTTAGTTTAACCTGCAGCCAGTTTCTAGTCCTTTTGGCTGACTACAGTTGCTCTGTATTGAGCATTCACCATCCTGACAACTCTACCCACCTTCCTTGCCTCTGCTGAAAAGGATCCCGCTGCATGATGCTGCCATCATGCAGAGATAAAGGCTGAGAGTTGCAAAGACTTTTGGATGTCATCTTACTCATTGTTTGCTGTGTTTTTAGGACTGCTGCCTGATCGTGTACCATCCCTATAGACCATTGCTGCAGTACGTGCAGGATATGGGACAGGAGGACATGCTGCTGCCTCTGGCCTGGTATGATTCTTTGCTCCGTTTGCCTTGCACCTATTAAACTAATTTGTTTTGGATGTCCTCACCCTGTGTCTTTTCTGTCATGTTTTCTCAGGCGAATAGTGAACGACACCTACAGGACAGATCTCTGCCTGCTCTACCCTCCCTTCATGATTGCCCTGGGTAACAGTTGTTCCCTCTTGCCTTTTCTCAGTCTGGTTTATAATCTGGTTACAGACCTGAAATGGGCTATATCAGATCTGGCCTAATCCGTTTGTTCTTCTCCTGCAGCCTGCCTTCATGTTGCATGTGTTGTGCAACAAAAAGATGCCAGGCAGTGGTTTTCTGAGCTCAGCGTGGACATGGACAAAGTAAGATTATTATATTTGGAAGATTTTAAGTCATCTAATTATTGACCAACATAAAAGCGTGCAGTTTTTAAGTAAAATAAAAATTACATCTTTAGAGTTTGATATCCATTTAACTGTTACACTTAAATTTTTCAAATACTAGCAGCTTACTTGAGTTGATGTCAGCATTATTCGGTGTATTTGTTTGCAGAAGATCTGCCTCAGGTCTGATTGAGAGAAATGTAAAAATAAAATCAGTCAGTAAATGGTTAGGTTCTGAATTTCATTTTCAAGCTGGTAAAAAATTATCCCAAAAGAGTGGTTGGCTGGAAATGACCTGGAAGTTGTTTCTAAAAAGAATAAACACGGATGGACTAAATACAAATGCATGCCACACTAATCAGATTTTTATGTGTAAAAATGTGTCTTTGTCAGTCTCCTATTTACAGCAACTGTTGGGATCAATGGTTCTTTTCAAATAGCTCTTATATGTTTAATTTTACAAAATAAACACAGTATATGAGACTTAGGAGGATTGAGATATTAACTGGTCTTCATTTAGGAATATACAGGAATACTATTTTTTCTTTTATTAAAAAAAAGCACATTTATTCTCATTTTAGATCCTGGAGATCATCCGTGTCATTCTGAAGCTCTATGACCAGTGGAAAAATTTTGATGACAGGAAGGAGATCCCTGCTGTTCTAAACAAGATGCCCAAACCCAAACCACCTCCAAACAGGTATGTCTGGATTAGTTGTGGATGTTGAGATAAATGAATAATATCTATGATGTATTCATAAGCTTCTTCTTGCCATTTTCTTTCTGCAGTGAAAGTGATCAGAGCTCTAATGGCAACCAAAGCAACTCCTACAGCCAGTCTTAGCACTTTGGCTGCATCTCCACCAGAGTCCTGATTGATAAACTTTTTGGGGGGGTGTTTTCAGGCACACAGAACAATCTTTGCAGTATCACAGAGATAACCTGGTCAGAATGTCCTTCATATATGGATACCCCAATGACCTCTTGAGGTCACTCAGCTACCTTTGCTCTGATTATTATGGATTCATGGACTCAACACGCAACAACTGAAACAACTCCAGTGAACAGCCACCCTTCTCCATTAGATGATTTACTCTGACATGTAATACGGTAGAACAGAGGAGCAAGGAAACGGGGGAACAAATGTAATCATTCAGTAAAAGCCTACTCATTGTGATGATCCTGACAGCCTTGAATCATTCTGTGGAGTTATTCCACACAGAGCTCCATTGGGTTGGAGAAAGAAAATAAATATATCACAAGTACTGTATGTGCAGGTGTGTAGTGCAGCCAGTCTGGGTGGGATTTTATTCCTCAGGGATTGATGTGATTCTGTGCTTTTTGGGTGGATTGATATTGAGATACCCCAGTGTGGAGATGGGATGGAAAACTTCTAGAAAAGTCTTCAGTCTGATCTAAAGGAAGTGGAAAGCTCATCTTTAAAGTACAAAATAGTTCTGTGAATAACAATTGACATTTTGATTAATGTTGACTCTTCATTCCCATTTCCTCCTCTTATGTAAATATGATAGATTAAAACTTTTCCTTTTTTTTTTGCTTTCTAAAAGAACAATATGCTTTCTAAAAGAACAATATGGAAATGTTCAGTTTTATTGTACTTTGTGCTAAACAATAAAGTGCACCTTTTGGTTTTATGCGATGTATTTGGTGGATCTTTCTTTTGTGTTTGGCTTTCACTGTCAAGATCTTTTTAGAAATTTATTTGACAAGCAATTGGGAGTAAAAGCTTGCCCCTATTACTTTTATTTATTTTTATTTTTTTTTACTTTTTTCTGTCACCCTCTACCAGCCAAATTGGTGATGTGTGTCTGAGTTTACCTGCAGATGTCCTTTATTTGATTTGATGGAAGTTGTACTTAGGTGGGCCTTTAAAAGTGCCCACATTTAGGTGTTATTCTTTAACTTGTGTTAATCTTTGTTTTTCTTTTTCCTCTGGAAATGTTAGAAACTTCAAATCTGATGATACAAATATCATTTTGTCTGAGGCTTTTGAACTAAGTAAAATAAACATAAATCTTCTTCCAGCCATTAAGCTTTCTGTGCTTCACAACCCTCTGAGGTACTGTTACCCCTGTGCTTACTGTATGCATCTTTTCTGCAACACTTTCCCTTCTATTCAACTTTTCATTTAAATGCATTTCTTATACAAAAAAAAAAAAAAAATAGCAAGTTCAGCTGCTACCTTACTGAGAATCAGTTAATCTCCCCCATAACTGGGGCAGAGTTACAGAGCTGCTATTATGAGATGTTAATTGTTCTCTCATAGTTTTTTTTTTTTTTTTTTGCCACAGCTAGCATACAGATGGAACAAAAATATTTAAAGCATATTCCTCTGGGAATCATAATTTTCACCTCTTCAACTGAACTTGTGAATTTAACTTTTGGCAGATACTAGCTGAGATGCACCTTCAACCATGAAAAAATAAAATGAATCTACTGTGCTTCAGTCCTGTCCTTTTGTAAAGCAGTTTCAAACATTTTTTCATAACATTTGGAGAGTAAAAATGTTACAAGCAGTCATGTTTATCAGTATCAACCCAGTGCAATGACTTTGGCAGCTTCTCTGCCCCTAGTGGTAAATCTAGAGGACAGGTCACACTGTTGTAAAACTGTTTAAAACTTAAAACACTGAGCAAAATTCAAACAATACTACGTTGGGTTTTATATTTTAAATGTCATCTATTGAGCACAAAATATCTTTTTCAGTGTCTTGTGTTTCATGTCTTTTTGTACACTTAGTTCTGATGATATAACCTGAAGCCCTCAGCCTGCAGAAGATAGCGGAAGTAGCTCTACAAAGTAAATCATGTATCCTTCAAAATAAGATATTTAACAGTAGTGTAAGTCCTCTGTTTGACAACACGTCCCTCAATAGTGGATTGGTTTTCATAATATTTCTTCACCTTGACAAAGATGAAAGGTGACAATGGAGAGAGGCCAAAAATAAATCAGAGGAGGAAAAAAAGCAAAAATAGTTTTCACAAATTACCTAGACATCCTCATTAAGTTGTTATAGTACTTGTGTTTAATTTGCTTATTTTATTTATTTTTTTCTTAATTTGTGTGCTTTAATTACAAACTTATCTCTTTTGTGTTAGGATTTATCTTTATTATTCATGAAAATCAGCAATAAAAAATAGGTTTACAAAATATTGGCCTAATAGATGTGTATTCTTCTCCACTAGTTATAGACAGCTTTCCCCTACACCTATGATGTATAATGCTATAAGCTATAAATTCTAATATTTTGTTAAATCAACCTTAAGAGTTGAATACCTGGAGCAGAAATCCCTTTTTCTGGATAAAAGTAATCACCTTCACTACGTAAGTCTAAAGGTTAGGGGAATAGAAAGGGGAGATCCCTATAGATATAACAGCCTATAAACAGTAAAGTATGCTAAGGTAAATAAGGGGAATCTATGTCTTAAATTATGTCTGTAAGAGCAGCACGGCATTTAAGGTAGGGCTGGATTTTAAGTAATAACACAGCCTTTCAGATAAGCCCACATGGTCTGACTCAAAATGTTACAGATATCACTGAGTTATAAGAACCAATGGGCTGAAACATTCGGATTAATCATGATTAATCAATTATTAAAATAATCGTCTACTAATTTAGTAATTGATTAATTGATTGATCTAAAATATGCCTTTATCTGACAGTAGGAGCCACTTAGAGCATATACCAAGATTGTGGAAAAAATATATACACATTTTGCATTTAAGATTTAAAAAATGGTTTAATCTGTCAATATGCTCTACCCAAAACTCCTCTAGTACCGGTAGAAACATTTTAGTTTCACCTGGTTTAATTTTGTATAGAATCTTCTTTTATGAACCTTTGGCTATCCGATTATTACCAGATTAATAAAAAAATAAAAAAATAGACAGATTATCGATTTGCAAAATAATTGTTAGTTGCAGCCATACCGTTAATGACTTAGCCCAGTGCTTTAAACACTGTTCGTTTCCTCTGCCTGACTGAGATTAAATTTGTTAAAATTTAAGAGTCATTTATGCTAAAAAAGAAGTGTTATTTAAAGTGAGATAAAGGATGAATGCTTCCAGCCTAAAGAACTGAGTGAAAGCCTTCAGGTGGCAGTAGCTTTACTAAACATTTTCACAGAAACTTTAAACCATATTTTACTATGTCACTGTTAATGTTTTAACATGCCATATTTTCAGTTTTCTTCTTTGTTGTTTTAGCTGCTGTATTGTGTTTCCTTACACTGCATTTGCCTCAGTATTGCTGAAATTTAGGTACTCCTCAACTGACATTACTAATGATAAATATAAATATATATGTTCCAGCTAAAGAAAGGAATCCCACAGCATAATGCAGCCACCAGTTTATATAAAGTTTCACTTTATATACCTTTTTTTTTCTTTTTTATTTACTTAAGATAAAAGTTAATGTTTCAAGAATAAATTTCTAGAGCAATAAATGATCACTGGAGAAGGAGTTTTTTTTTTTTTTGATTGGCACACAAGCGTTTATTTTGAAAAGAATAACCGGAAATCCCTCGGTGAGCTTGACAGAATGTAGAGGAGAGGGGTCAAACTGGAGAGCTCGGGACGGACTTCAGGATATGTCCTCCCCGGCAGCAGGAGGGTGAACCTCGGACGGGATGCTTGGCTCCCCCCGGCTATCGCTGCTGTTCTGCCCCCGCCTCGGTTGGCACCCATGAAGCCCCCTCTGATGCAGACCCGGCCTGCCAAAGCGAGGCGGAAAGCGGCTGGGGACACCGAGCATGTACTGGCGCGTCAGCTCTGCATGGACCGGGTCGTGTGTGGTTGATCTCGGCCGGAATCGCAGCTTCGATGAGCAGCTCTCGTTTCACGGGTACGTCGTGGCGCATCCTCTGCAGGATCACTGGATGATGTCGACGCTGGGCTCGGATTCGTGGTGGAGGAAGACTCTGTATGTGACCGGAGGCGCTCTGCTGGCTGCAGCTGCTTATCTCCTGCACGAACTGCTGACCATCAGGTAGAAAAACAACACAATCACCTCTGGAGTCCTCTAAAAAACAAACAAAGACAAAGTAACAAGCACCATGCATTTTATTTATCTCAAATTTCTGCTGCATCCTCTTACATTTGATGTTACTTAATCTGGTGTGATTGGGCGGGGTGAGGGAGCAGACGGGGAGAAAATAAGGAATCGTGAGGGACGGGTTATGATGTAACGGAACCCCAACCTCCTACCTCCATCCTCACTTCCTACCACTGCATATATGCAAAAACATATTTACATATTTCATTTTAACGGGATATATTTAATACAACGAGTTGTTGTTTTTGATATATGCAAAAACGCAAGGTTTTATCATGTAAATACTCGGCCTTCTGGACCAAATGTACCAGGGGGCCAGGAGGGGCCCAGTGTGTTTTCATGGGGGCACAGAAAAGCATGAAATTTAAAACAGGGCAAGGGATTCAATTATATTCAGACAGCGGCATGAAGTGAAATTTCTATTCAATTAGGTTTCATTAAAATTATATGTCTTATTAATAAAATTTTTTCAATTCAGTTTATTTCTATAGCGCCAATTCACAACACATGGCATCTCAAGGCACTTTACAGTTCACCAGATCATACAGTCAAATTGATTCAAAGTTTTTTTTGTAAGGAAAACCAGTTGATTGCTTCGACTCATTGACTCCAACGCAATCCCTCACACCAAGCATGCTTGTAGCGACAGTGGAGAGGAAAAACTCCCTTTTAACAGGAAGAAACCTCCAGCAGAGCCAGGTTCAGTGTGAGCGGCCATCTGCCGAGGCCGAGTGGGGTTCAATGAGCCAGAAGCAGAGATATAAAAAGCAGCTGTAACAGGCGGCCCCTTATAGGAAACACAGAGGTCACATTCATAATTTAGGAATTTTACATATTTTGGACTTAATTTAACTTAAAATTACCATTTTCTATAAAATCTGGATTAGAACTCAAGAAAAACTGAGAAATTCAGCTGTAAAAATTAGAGTATTTTTTTTTTATTATTTGTTTTGAAAAAAAATTTTTGCAGATGAGAACTGGGATCTCAATACCACTGAAGCTATCACCTTATTGTTTTTAAATAATTAGTAAAACTAAGTTTGTAAAGAGAAAAAATGTAATAGATCCAAAGGACCTATCTGTAACCATGTCTGTTCCAGCTCATATGATCATTAGAATTTCTTTGAGTATTATGTCTTCAGTACAAGGGACATAACAAGGGGCCAGGGCATGATATACAGGGGCATTGGCCCCCATTGGCCCCTGTCTGAAACCGTGCATGGCCTTCTTCATCCTGAAACCTGTAAACAAAAAGTGGAATCGATTATTGAAAACGGTCAGGAAGAGCATCTGGAGCAACACCCCAAATATCACAAGATTTAACATTTTGCATCTTGTTAAAAAAATACAGAAGGTCTATTAAGGTCAGTGAGATAATCCATCTTCAATTTGTGCTAGTATTCACTGAAGAAAATCATATATCAGCATCATTTACTCATTCTCAGTTTTCCCCCTCCCCTCATCAATTAAGCAGTATTTAATGCTGACCTACCCTACAAAATATTTATAATTTTCAATTAATGCAAAGACCTAATTTAAGAATTTGTATTATTCTGATTAATGTAATTGTACTTATTTAATATCCAATACTGCCCTAGTTGGGGTTGGCTGATAGCATAGGATCAAGCTGTTCATTCAGGTGTGATGGCAAACACTGCAGCTCTCTCTGCCTCTCTGTGGGCTCAGTATCATGTTACCATCTCACAGGTTTTTGTTTCAGATGACAAAAGGCTCTTATAGTTGATCTTGTTAAAGAAAAACTGGTTTGCTTGGGGTTGGACAGCCTTTCAGCACCACATTTAGAAAGACAGCTCCTCAGAAACTGTTTGGTGCTTTTAAGCACTTCAGCACCTTTTCTCTGTGCATAGTCTGTGGTTCTGCAGCATGCCCATTTGTAGGCGTGTTTCTGTATATTAAGTGCCTTCATAAAAAGAATATGATATGTAGATTATCATTAGTGAAGGCTTTATGTTTGAGTGACTGTACTTCACCATGGGCTGATAGACACTTAGCTGCAAGGTTTGTTTACTCAGCCGCACCAAGATGAGCTGTACAATCCTACATGACTCATGCACATGTTTTTTTGGCTTTGTGCTACAGTGACATCACAGCTTCATCCCCGACAGAAGCATAATAAAACCCAAAGGGAGACAGAAAGTTTTGTAACCCAGTGGGTTGTATAGACTTATAGAAATCGTTTTAGTTCCCCTCTGATTAAAAGTGTGTAGAATAATATTCAAATGTGGTCTGTTTGAATAAATTGATGAATTTGTCTGGAATTGATTTCAATTTAATTCAGTTTATTTGTATAGCGTCAATTCACAACACAAGTCATCTCAAGGTGCTTTGCAGAGACAAAATGGTCAGATTGGTTTGGAAAACCAGTTGATTGGATCAAGACATCCTCCTCCTGAAGGAACTTAGGTCAAGGATTTCTGCCTGTGTCTTATCGCTGCCTCTTCAGCGATCCTTCACAGCGAGCATGCATGTAGCAACGATGGAGAGGGAAACTCCCTTTTAACAGGAAGTAACCTCCAGCAGAACCAGGCTGTGAGCGGCCATCTGCCGGGGCGGACAGGGGTTCAAGGAGACAGAAGCAGACATAAAAAATAAAAGAAGCAGATATGCAAAAGGGAAATAATAACTAGCTCCACTGGTGGCCCGGTCCAGGAAACACACAGCCAGACAGACCAGCTCCAAGCTAATTAATGTGGTCACAGTAAACAGAACTACACTGGAAACAGGACACGCTCCTACTTCTATAAACAGGAGATGTTTCAGTATCCAGGATGGAGTCACAGCTGAACAGGAACAGACCAGATGAAGCTACTATAATGAGAAAAAAAAGGGCATAAAGTTATAAGTATAACTTGATCAATATTGAGGGAGGGAGAATGGAGATAGGATGTGGAAAAAATGACCCTTTGTGATCCAGCAGCCTATACATTTAGAGGCATAAATATAGAAATGGCTCAGGATAACCTTACTATTTTAGATGAGGTATCAGAAAGGTAAATCTAAAATAGGGCCAAGGTAGAGCCAAGGAGAAACATCTGTCCGGACTGAAATTCTCCCTGGTGGATCGGGCTTTTATAACGCTCTACCTCCAACAACATCTCTACTCACCCAGTGACTAAGCAAATATTATTCTGTTTATAACTGTAAGCTTTATCAAAAAGGAAAGTTTTAAGCTCTGCCTTAAAAGTAGACAGGGTGTCTGCCTCACGGATTAAATCTGGTAGTTGGTTCCACAGAAGAGGAGCCTCATAACTAAATTATCTGCCTCCCATTCTACTTTTAGAAAATCTAGGAACCGCTAGTAAACCTGCAGATTGAGAGCGAAGTGCTCTGTTAGGAACATAAGGAACAATCAGATCTCTGATATAAGATGGATCTATTCTGGATTTAACAGGAAGCCAATGAAGAGAAGCTAGGATAGGGGAGATATTATCTCTATTTTTAATTTCCATCAGAACTCTGGCTGCAGCATTCTGGATCAGCTAAAGGCTTTTAACTACAGTTTGTGGACTTCCTGTTAGTAAAGAATTACAATATCTACCATTGAGGTGCAGGGACTAGTTTCTCAGCATCACCCCTGTACAGGATTTTTCAATTTTTTTTTCAATATTCCATGATGAACGAAGGAATTTCTAAAAACCTCTTTGAATTGGGATCTAAATGACTGGCCGTGATCAAAAATAACACCAAAATTTTTGACTTTATTATCTGAGATCAATTTAATCCCATCCAAATGAACTGACTGAATCATCAGCTTCTTTTACTGTCAATTATGTACTGAACTTACACTGCTGTGAAAGATACTTAGATTTAACACATTTAATGACCATTTCCTCTCTATTTTATTAGTGCAAAATGCCTGCTAATTTTAAGCTTTTACAAAAGCTATGACTCTTTATCAGTATTGATCTAAAGGCCCACTCCTGGTGCATGATTATGCAGAGGTTTTTTTGCTTTTTAATCTTAGCATGCATAAAGTTTTTTGTTCAATAATAGATATTACAGTTGTTGAACCACCACAAAACCTGAAATATGACTTATGAAATAAAGTTTACCAGTAGAAATTATGTTCTTTTCTGCTTCCATTGAGGTTACTTGTATCAACATGGTTTCAGTCAGTTGTTACTCTGTGTTTTATACTGGTCTTTGCAACTTGAGAGATATTTATTGCTGACAAATTAATGATTGTTTTCTACATTTAAAAACTTAACTCTCAACTATGTGCCAATAAGACATAAAGAGGTTTAGAAACTTAAGAGAAAGGAGTGATTTGTCTTGATACATAACAGAAAACCTGATTCTAAACAATTTTGCTTGCATGAACTTTAACCTGTTTATAAATACACGATGGTTGTACACTGGTTTACATGAGCTAGTGGTCTTGTCTTCTTTTCTTGTGTTTTAGTCATGCAACTCCTGTTATCATCAGTAAAAGAAAAAAAAGACAATGTGAGAAATGCAGTCAAACCCCAACAAAAACCAGAGAATAAATAAAATTCATAACAAACGAACAAAAAGGGCAATTAAGGGTTGTTAAAACATTCGTAAAGTACTGGGCATTTTTCTATGAAGTTAAAAGTTCTGAGCCTAAATCAAAGTGTTTAGTTGGGACATATTGGGAGGGTTTGATTTACCCCCTCAGCTCATACTGGGTCTATCAACTCATTCCCTGTTTTTCTTCTCATAGAAAAGAAGAGGAGCTGAGCTCTAAAGATGCCATTATTCTCCATCAGTTCTCCCGGCCAAAATCTGGAGCCCCTTCACTGTCTCCTTTCTGCCTTAAGCTGGAGACCTACCTCCGTATGGCTGACCTGCCTTACCAGGTATGATCTTAGGTAATGATCATTCAGAAACAGGAACAATAACCTTGATTCAGCTCAGACTTGGCGTCCCTGGATCCCCATATAGCACCACCGTCAGATCTTCCCGTCTTTAATCAGGCAAAAAATTGTTTTACTAAATCCCACCTGCTTTTTTTTTTTAACTTTTCGCTTTTTATCCTCCTGATTCCTGTTATTTCTCCTCCAGAACTACTTTGACGGGAAGCTTTCGCCACAGGGAAAGATGCCGTGGATTGAGTACAATAATGAGCAGGTTTATGGAACTGAATTCATCATGGAGTTTCTAGAGGAGAAGCTAGGTGTGAGCTTGAACAAGAGCCTTACCTTACAGGAGAGGGCCTTGTCCCGTGCCATCACCAAAATGGTAGAAGAACACTTTTATTGGTGAGTTCTGACTGTAGGAAAACACATAATTAAATTTAATAGTTGAACATGTTTCCATACATCTTGTGACAAATTGCAATTGACCTGCATATGGCTTTCTTCTTTTATTTTTCAGTATCCTTTTAAGTTATGAAAACTCATATAAAACCGTAATGCTTAAGTTTCTGCTTTTAAAGTGAAAAAGTTTAAAATTTTCATTTGCATTGAAGCACTGAAGTTGGACTTAATGTCCAAAGAACAAAAAGGTGTTTCTGAAATTTTTGCCACAAAGACAGAAGGAGATTAATTTCAGTTTGTGTCCAAGGACTTTGGCTTACTGTCAGTGGGTGGACAACCTGGAGGAGACTCAGAAGATGCTGTCGGTGAGCGGACCACTGAGCGACCTGCTCAAGTGGATTCTGAGTCACCTAACGGGTGGGATCGTTAAGAGAGAGATGTACGGCCACGGGATTGGACGCTTCTCCAAGGAGGAGGTTTACGGTCTGATGGAGAAGGACATGCGCACCCTGGCTACCCTTCTAGGTAAGTTTAGTCATCAGATCACATCTAGTGAAAAAGAACTTTACTTGTGTGAACTTTCCTTTGTTTAAAAGCCTGTGGTTCTTTGTGTAAATAAATTATTGTTTCTCTAAAGGAAGCGCTTAGCAGCCTCATTTAAACTGCTCAACACTGACCTCTAGTGATATTTTTTATATTTGCGGTCAAATGTTTTAGTGTATTTATCATGACAGGATGTGATCCAGAGTCCCTGTCAGAATCCATGTTTTGTGAGCATCACCACAGCTGCAAACCTTTAGATAAAACACCCAAAATGATATAGAGTCTTTCACAATTTTGTTGCTATTTTTGTGATCAAACTAATGTTTCCACTTACTGTATGTGTTCCCACTTAGGAGATAATAAATACATTATGGGCTCCAAGCTTTCAGCAGTAGATGCTACAGTGTTTGGTCACCTGGCTCCAGCCATGTGGACTTTACCAGGATCACGACCAGAACAACTTATTAAAGGTTTGCTTACCAGAAAAGGTCAAATCAAACTGTACTGTATGCAAAAGAAATGTATCACAGAATTAAAGGGATAGTTCGGTATTTTTGACATGAATCTGTATGGCATCCCCATCACCAATGTCATGCAATCACACTGACTTACCCCTGGCAGCGTCCTGTGAGCAGAGTTCTCGTCCAGTTTTTGTCAAGCCGAAAGTAGTCCGGCAGGTTTGCTAGACCCAGCGAAATAAAACGTTTCTCTTCCCAAAACATTATGTGTTCAAAAGAGTGATATTTTTGCATCCCAAAAACGTTGTAGTGGAAAAAGTCACACGTCATTATCACTTGGTCCTATTTTCTCTCTGTTCGTATCAGTGCGCGCCGTCATTCAGACAGCTAGGGCCTACTAACCTGACAACAGCCAGATGCATGTCTCCCTCCGCCCAGCTAGGAGCTAGGCGGAGGGAGACATGCATCTGGCTGTTGTTGAGCTCGCTGTCTGAATGACGGCGCGCACTGATACGAACAGAGAGAAAATAGGACCAATTGAAAGTTGCCAAACATCCAGTGCTTCAATAAAAAGTTAATGCAGTAGCGTTATTGTTCATTGCCTGCTGGCCCATCAAAGGTAGCTGATTTCAGTCTGTTCTGCTTTCTTTGCTCCTACAGTGCAAAAGGAGCAGCTGTTTATTTGCTGGATGCAAATGATCCTAAACATTACAAAATACACTTTTATGGATATTTCAGACTATCCAGAGTAAGAAAAGGAAGGTGGCAGCTGATGATTGTTCCATCTTTTTCATCACGCTTTGTAGCCCGCTGCTGCAGAGAAACGATGCCACACTAAGCACACTAATGGTGGGCAAATTTTAAACTCTGTCGGCAATTTACACAAGCGATTAGCAAATATAGTATCAGAGAGCCACTAGCTATGGTGTGTACATGTGTCACCATAATGAGTTCATCTCATTGTTATGGTTTATTGTCTGTGTTGGATAATTACAGTGTATTATTGTAACTCACAAGTCGGTACACATCCTTTTATTTGTGTTGCACAACAAAGAGGCCCCGAGAAATAGTGTAAAAACCTTTATGTGATCGACGAATCATTAAAAGAAGAACCAGTCTAGTACAGGGCAAAAATAGAAAATGAAAAAACTTGTTTTATTAACCAATAATTTCAAATTTTTTTTGACCATTCAGTGTGTTTCCATTCCTGGTTGTGATCAACTGTAATGAATCAGAATAAAATTCAACTTTCTTTCTTGATTTTACATGATTTTGCTAATTGTCATGTTTTAGCTACTGTATAGCAGTAGCTGTGTAGTTTACACAGGATTAAAAAGATTTTACTACATTAATATTTCAGACATGAAAGAGCACAAAAAATCCACAAGGTTATATTTCCATAGTTCTTTGGAAAATGTAGACAGTCCTTAGTTGCAATTAAAGCAGCAATGGTGAAATTATATAAAAAAAAATATTTTCATACAAAATTAAGGGAGCAACAGGTATTTTTAAAATACAGTTCGTTATTAGCAATAATTTCCTAAATTCGTATTCTATATAGACATCTCTGTAGCTGATAGCTTTTCTTACAAAGAAATGTTTGGATATAATAAAAAAAAAAAAGGTTAAATATCTGGTTGTCAGAAAAACCAAACTTCATTCTTAGGGACACATTTCTAAAAGGTACATCCAGTTCTAATTCAACACTGAACAACAGAGCATGCACACATTGAAACATGGTGGTGGCAGCATTATGCTATGGTGTTTCTCTTCTCCTCATGAAAATAGAAATTGTCACTTGGAAATTACACACGTCACATCGCCAGACAAGGTCGTTTTGTATTGTAGTTAATTTATGCGATTAATTTTTTTAGCAATTAAATCCTTATTTAAAATCTGCCAAAAAAAAATTTGTAAACTTTGTTGCTGGGACCTACAGTAAAAACACGGTGCCTTTAATGTCCTTAAACTGCTTGTAACATTCCCTGGCTGGGTCTGGGGGAAATACATGCCTGAGCTGAAGGTCCAGAAGCCAGGTTTTTTAAGAACCAGTTGTTTTTTATGTTTTTATAAGGAAGTTTAACGTGATTGTGAATTTAGAGAGGAAAAAAAGGTTTTCAGAAACCAACATAAATTCAGACAGTGAATGGAAGAGTCAAAAGGACATTTAAAGAGGTTTGCCACATTTATTTTCTGTTCATACTGGTAACAGCTTCAAAGAAACCTCAGGCCATCATAAAAGACAAGACAGCCCTGAAAGAAAAATAACAGATACCTTACCTAACTCCAAAAAAACCCAAAATAACCTTCATGAAAAGCACATAAACAGGAGAAAATTAGGGTTAAACAAGAAAGCTCTCCCCCACCAAAGCAGTTTACACATGTTGAAAGGAGAATAGTACAAAGAAGCATTAAAGAGATGTACAGTATGACAACAAATGGTGTGTATTGGGGAAATATGGCCTAGAGGTCCCTGAAGTGCAGCTTCACATTCCTTAAATGGTGTGCAGCTGATTGCTAATTGGACTGAGACCCAGGAAGTAGCATCCAATCCTGGAAGAGGCGGAGCCTAAAACAGAACAAGGCATTCCTTCCATGCAAAACAAAATAAATCCCACTTTGGGGATGTAACACTGCTCTTCATTCTGACCGTAAGACATTAATTTGGTAAAACAAAGTGCAGTTTTCCATCGAACAGTTCTCGAAGGAAATATTTTAAATCAATGACTTATGTCACTGTAACCAAAACTAAAAATGTTGTCCCTTGCAGGCGAGCTTATCAACCTGGCCATGTACTGTGACCGCATCCGCCGGCGCTTCTGGCCCGAGTGGTTCGTGGACCTGGAGGATTTCCGATACGACCTCACCACAGAGATGAGCGACACGCCTTCTAAACTCCCAGACCTGGGCCTCTACTCTCGCACAGACACTTCCCAAGAGACTATTTACTCCCATTCTTCGCATCTTTCCCATCTTTCCCACCTTTCGCACACCCCCACTCCTCAGGAGCCCCCATCGCCTGTAAGCGACCCGACGGGCCACTCTCTTTACGACTCTGACATGGACACCGAGTGCTCTGAAATCGATCAGCTCAAGTGTTGATGAAACACATCTGTGTGGCTCACACTCATAAGTACGCACACCACAGGGGGGAGCTACATCTTACCCATGCCTCTTTAAACAGATAAGAGAGATGATGGGGATTAGTTGTGTTGGTACAGATCTAGGGAACAGAAAGGGGCTAACCTGCAAATTCCAGTGGAGGAAAGATCAGTGTCCACCATACTGGCGATTAAAAGAAGAAAGTAGTCAAGAACCTGAAGGAATTATAATTAGGAGGAGGTTGAAACTCTAAAAAGGAGTAAATGACGCTGCTGCTGCTGAGAAACTCCTCCATGTGCTCTACATCATGTGCAGTCAAAACCCTTTTCCATGCGCTTCATCCATGGCAGCTACCTCTGTGCACGCCCAGTGTTTCCTTGTAGCTTCGTGCTCCACCATTCAAGCGTGTGAGTGTTTTTTCACTGACTGATCCTTTAACCCCTTAGGGTGAAATTACATCAACACCTACAGCTAGCCCAGACTGAATCACAACTGTTCAGTGTAAATATTTATAAGAATCAGAGTAGAATAATTGATAAAATATGGAATTATATTAAGCTGATAGAGTGTATAGATAATCTAAAGAAAATCTTACTCCCTCTGTTATATAATGTAAATACTGTAAGTGTCTTTCCTCTTCAATCTCTGTTCATGCTGGTTTGGATCAGCAAAAAGATATGCGAGAACTTCAGTCCTGTGTTCATCTGCTTTCACAGCAGGGATCAGGCCATATGCAAGGCCTCCAGTTAAATGATGAATCATAGAATGTTATTGACATTTTTCCAAAGGTTTTGAGCCACTATAATTTTTATTTATGTTTATTCCAAGGAGTCTGAATTTTATGTTATACTTCGAGGTGGTTGTGATCAACAGATGTCTTAAAACTCATTTTCAGTCTGTTGATTTTTGACCTTTTTAAGTCCTCCTTATTTATTCATGCAGGCAAATAAAACTATTTTCAAGGATTCCACACCTTTAAATGAATTAAATTAAAATTTCATTTTATTCTTTTTTATATCATGATAAGCATGATAAATGGTCCACTAACTAGAGTTATGTTTAGAAGTGTACATAATTTATTCGTCGTTCGAGTATCTAACAACAGCTTTTTGCAGTGATTTATCCTTATAAGATGATCACAAAGAGTTAAGATGAAAAAAGACAGCTGATCTAAGAGTCTGTGCCATAAAAACACTTAAAGTTAACTGTGGGATACCCCTTAACCCCTCCACTTAAGCACTGTGGTGCACTACAATTTGTGTAACATTTAGATAATTAAAACAAACTCAAAAGTCAATGTTCGCTCTCAGTCGGTGGCAAATGTTGAAATATCAAGATAAAATCTAGAATTTCCAATGAGATATTTAGGAATCCTGAGCACTGCAGAGAGGATTTAAATAAGTGCTTTATTTCCAGTCTGTCAAAAAGATAGTTCGGTGCAATTTCCCTCTGAATCCTTGAAATCTATGAAAAATAAAAAAGGCTAAGTGATATCAAAAAGTATTTCGGAACAAAGAACGTGATTCGTGAAGAGCTTTTAGATGAATATACTGTAAAAGCTTCTCAGATATAGGGATGAGCTAAAAGCAGATATTTTAAGACTTTCAGTAAAGTCTAAACAAGCTTCTTTGAATTTGAAAAGCTTCCTGGATGGGAAATGAAACGTCTTCAAACTTGGAAACAAAGTCCAGTGGGTTTTTTTTTTTACTTTTTTGGAATGACTATGACCTGGATAACTGAAAATCTTCACCAACCTAAAACAAAGTGGATAAACACCAGGTTGAAAGATGATAGATTTTCCTCTAGCAAAATTAACATCAGTTAGAAACTTTAGGAAATTTGATTATTAATATTTACTTTATCCACAAGAACTACAGCTTTGAGTCAAAGAGAAATCTAAGACACACATTTGTAGGAGTCATCCATTAGGAGCGAATCAAACAATCTATAAAGAAGAGAAGAATTCGTAGCTTTTGAATTAAAATCTGCAGCTTATTCCTCCATGTCTGAGGTTGTAGCACTTTTCTTTCTTTCTTTCTTGCTGTTAGTGCTTTTGTTTTAAATATGTGCTATCAAGTGTAGAGTTCATCTGTGCATCAGCTGCAGCGTCTGAAAGGCTGCTTAAGATGGAAACTATGTACGCTTCTATCTGATGTTGCAGATGGAGTCTCCTTGTTTTTGCTGCTTTGTGGGTTTGAATGGTAACACATAACTTCAGCTTCAGGAGATGTGCGTTTGTATTCACCCCCTTTGAGTAAAAAAAAAAAAAAAAAAAGTTTAACCACCTTGTGCTGCAGCCACCAGCTGTGAGTCTTTTGAAGCTGTTTCTATGCCTTCATCCAGAGATTGAGATAGTTATTTTCACCCTTCTTTGCAAAATAACTCCAGCTTTTAAAGCAAGGCTTATGGGATTTATACTAATGTTATCTAACAAACCTCTGAGGTCTTCACAAAACAGCTGATTTAATAATGAGATTTAATTACACACTGATTAATTAGCAGGCATTGAAGGCAGTTAGATGCACTGGAGTTTATTTATGGGTGTCCGTGTAAAGGGATGAATACAAATTCACACCTTGCCGGTATTAATTTGTGAAACATCATGTCATTTTCCTTTCATCTGACAACTTTTTGTTGTTCCATGACTTCAAATCCTGATATGTCACTGCGGTGTGTGGATATAACATGACAAAATGTGAAAAGGTTTCTGGCATAATCATAAAGGGGCAGAAATTTTGGACTAAAATCAAAGAAAGAGAGTAAGAGGCTCAGAGTGATGCCTTCAAGAGTTTTTGTGTGCGTGAGATCATAACAGCTGAGTTTTTAGTTATGTAAAAAATCTGAAACTAACAAAAAAGAACTCATGTTTTTATGTTGTTTTGATATTCCTTGCCTGCATGATGTTGCCTTTTGTCTCTACTAAGTTCAGGTTTGTGTCATTGTTTACAGCTGTGCCAGTGTATGCTTTAATTATATTTATACAGTATATAGTTTTATACGTTAAATATATCTATATGAGTTTTTTAATTTTTTACCCTTGCTGGTTTATTCAATTAAATTATTTGGTTTTGTTTATATGCTCATATTTGTTGACACATGAACTGTTTACATGTGACACTCAGAATAACTGAGCTGTGTATCGGTGCAATAAGGTCGCTTGCTCTTAACCCCTGCACACCTAAAAAACAGACTGAGCAATCATTTTCAGATTCCCCACATTTTTCTATGCATGTTCATCTCCATTTCCAGGTAATCGTCTGTAAATGTTGAAAAAAACGCTCAAACTCCTCCCAGCTACTGGACCAAACTCCAGAAACACTTGCTCAACTTTGGGGTTTAAAATCAGGTAGTTTGGTGGCTCCCCCAAACATTTTCTGCTTGTAGACTCTAGATGCTGCTTGACATCGTCTCTTGTTGTTTGTGAAACAGAATTATGAAGTAATCACCTGGCTGTAAATAAGAGAGTGATAAAGAAATTAAATTAAAACTGAGAAAAAAGACGCTGTGTATGATTTTCTGAATGTACCACAACTAGCGATAAACGTCTGAATGAAAATTGATTCATTTCAAGTTTTCATTAAATATAGCTGTGATATTTCTCCCCCTGTAGCGTGTCTCCTTGTTATTTATTGACTTGTTAGTTAGTAATATTTCAGGCAGCACCACTTGTGGCAAAAACAAAACAACAAACACCCCTAAATATAATGAGTAGATCACTGCTGCCAGCAATTTTATGTTGATCATCTGTTTTCGTCCACTTATAAAAAAAATCATGTTTTTTTTTTTTTACTACAAAATTTTTCAGCTTTTCAAACAAGATTTTACATTAAACTATTATGATATGAATGAATAGAAAAGGCAGTTTCTAAGCAATAATAAGCTATTTAAACACACTCACACACGAACAGTTTTTCCTTATCCCTGTGGCTGCATGCATGCTCAGCAGGGCCGTGCAGAGACCACTAAAGGGGCAGGTGCTCAAAAAGAAAAAAAAAAGGGCACATCTTATCGCATTTTAGGACAGAATATTAACAAAGTCACATAGCTTTCAGAGTTTAATGAACAATGATAAATGACAAAATTGTGAGACATACAATCAAAGCTAAGGGAAACACAAGAACAACAGCCTAATGTCTGTATGATAAAAATACTGAATCGATAGATAAGAACAGCTTTTCCTCACCTGGCTGTCTCCTCCCGCTCAGTAGTTCTTCAGAGAAAGGCGCGCCGCGTCCTATACTTTCCTCCGTTTAAACCGCTACTCTTTGCTAAAGTAGAGAAATTATACAACGTTCAAAGTTTTCCGTTGTCTGACAAGTAGCAAGCCTACTCCAGTATTTTCACCAAAAATTATGTTTTTTAATTCACAAAAAAAACTGTTCTGTTTTCATTACAGAACAGTTTTTTGTGAATTAAAAAACATAATTTTCAATGTAAAAGACTAAAAGCACTGAGTAAACAGTGTTTTAGATCAAACAATACTGCATCATCCATGGGGCTCATTTGGTTTCACTTACATGTCTATTCAGGTTGACATTGGAGAGGCGGTGCAGACTGAAGACATAGCCATCCGTCCGATCATGGTTGATCTTGCTTAGGGCCAAATGAGCAGCGGCCACAGTGTAATGTGGAATGTTTGCTACCTTTAGCTCCGCAGTTAGCCGCCTTATCTGACTGTGCGGCACCGGCAAAAGGTCAAAGGTAACAATGTGACCGGAGGGCTTATTGTATTGTTTTTCTTGCCAAAAAGAAAAAAGATAATAATAATAATTTCAGTACATGTGTCAAATAAAAAAAATTAAGATAAAGCAAAAAAAAAGAAAAAAAAAAAAGACCAAAAGGGCACATTGGGATCATGGAGCAAAAGGGGCAGGTGCTCAAGCCCCCTTAGCCCCCCCCTCTGCACGTGCCTGATGCTCAGTCTGAGGGATTGCTGTAGATGTAATGACGACACAATGTAAACTAACGTCTATTGTTGCTACATGCTCATCCAGGAGGAGCAGATCCTGCAACATCACAAACTCAGTGCAAGCAGCTTTTAACCGATCTGTCTGTATGATTTGATTGTGCTTTGAGATGACGTGCGGTGAATTGGCGCCATATTAATAAACTGAATTGAAAGGTCTCAGTTAAGGTCATTGTTCATGAAATAATAATCAGAAAGGGACTGGGCAAAAAACAAAAAAATCAACAGATTGCAAGACCAAAACCACCTTTGACACAAACATAAACTGCCTTCTCATGTTTCCTAACAAAGACATCTCACTAATCCCCAAGCCTTGAGAGAAAGCAAGACTCTTACAGCGACTCAAGAAACAACATCATAGCATTCAAACCTGGTGATGGCAGTGTTATGGTATGAGAATGCTTTATTTAATCTTTATCCGAGTTAACTATCATAATAGATAAATCACAATCTATTTGTTTAACTAGAAAAGCACAAGCAATGTTTGTAAACTCGTTCAAGTACGGCTGGATTATGAAGGAAGACAATGATCCAAAACATGTCAGCAAGCGTCCCTTCAAGACTAAAACACCAGCGAAAAAAGTAGGGTTTTGGAGTTGTCTATTCAAAGATTGGACATGATTAAATTGATGTGGCATTACCTTTATTTACTTTTTCACACAACACTGGATTGGTTTGACTAAAGCTCATATTGTCTTATATAAAATGTGTTTGATGATCTGGAAATTTTAGATGTGATTAAAAAAATTGCAAGGAGAAAAACTATTTTTCAAGGCAAGATATATTTCTTTCCTTTAGTTTTGCTGCTTCCTGTTTGCCGACTGAGTGCTGCTAAAAAGTCCTGAAGGATTAACTCTTTGTCCCTATATTTAAGCTGGAGCCCAAGAGAAACAGAAAAAAGGAGCCCCGTAAGGGCAAGAAGAAGTTGTGCAGGCACAAGAATGAGGAAGAGAAAAACAGCAACGAGCAGATGAATGATATTTGATGTTTCTGGCTCATCATTTTTCTGCAGCTATTGTGCAAAAACCCCAACAAGGACCGCTTCACACATGACAAGAGGAAACAATCAAGGACTGACAACAATACCAGAGGATCTCTGTTCAGATGGGATCTATAGAGGGAGGTGGCAGCTGGGTGTGTGATACACAGAGACCTTGTGTGCAATGAGGAGTAGGTGTGTGTGTGTGTGTGTGTGTGTGTGTGTGTGTCTGTGTGTGTGTGTGTGTGTGTGTGTGTGTGTTAAGTATGAATAATGCAGAAGATGCCTGTAGGAGCATGAGGGCCGGGAGGAGGGCAGATGGTCGTTGGATGATAAGGCAGGATTCAGGCAGCGGGGTCCTCCAGAGAGCTGAATTCAGACCTGCCTCGGAAGATACAGACACACTCACACAAAGAAACACAGCGGAAAAAAAAACATGTCTTCTTTAATTTTTTTTCCCTCTTTTATCATGGTTTGGTCAGATTTTCGAATAAAATAGTCAATTACATATTCCTTTTCTTTAGAACATAAAAAAAAAGATTTGTAGTGAATGCTGGTAACTAAAACAACACAGTTTTGGATTTTTAGGTGCTCTTTAGTGTTTGCTGAGTAAATTAAAGTGAATTTATTTGAGATAATTTACTGCAAATTTCAATAGAGCAGGTGGTTTGGTACAAACTTCACTGCCATAGTACCTCACCAAAGCTTTGTTTATCTAATCAAAATCTTTCAATGTCCTTTGTTAGTATTTGGCAATTTGAAACAATAGAATGTTTATATATATATTATATTTCTTGTATAACTCCATCATTAAGACAAATAAGAAAAAATAAAATAAAATACACAGAGGTGTGAAATATTGGCCTTTGCAGTCATGACTGCTGAAATTTTTCCAGCATCCAAAAGAAGGTTAAACAAACCCTCAAAGTGCAAAATAAACTGGCTGTTCAGAGAGAGCTGCAGCTACTGTAACTAGAAAAAATAGAGGGTCTCCAGTCTGCTATCATTGCAGGAACACTGCAGTTTTACAACCATAAGCTGTGCAAATAAAGCCATACCTGACCCTTTATCATCCTGGAAATTGTCTCTTTGAGATTCCTCCTTATGGTCAGATGTTGATTTCAAACGATAGAAAATTTAATTATTTGCAACTGATGTTAAGGCTTCATGAACCTCCAGACACAGACATATCTATGATCCTGGGAAACAACTGTTGCATCCCCTATGTAAGGTCACTCCTGGACATCAACAGAGGCTCCTGAGGCGGGCTGAAGAGAAAAACAAATGAACTGTTTCTCAGTGGCATAAAATCATCTTCTTAAAGCCTCAGGATCTGGGAGAAGATTGAAGAAAGACGGTCGTTTTCGTTAACTGTGTTTTATCCAGTGAGAGAGAACAGCTGACTACCAGGACATTTTAAAGCATAGCATGCTTTATTCTGCAGACAGGTTTTCTTGAGATGCACATTTGAATGTCCAGTAGGACTTGGATGCAGCCCACATTGCCAAGGTACAAGTATCTGATGCAATGTCCATGATATCATTATGCTTAATAGGCCTGCAAACTGGCCCTGACATGAGCCCCTAGAGTGAATCTACGGGTATTAACAAGAGGAAGATTAGAAACACCACAGCAAGGAGTGTAGATGAGCTAAAGGCTGCTATCGAAGCATTCCATGCTCCCTGAACACCTCGTCACAACCACAGTCTGATCACCTCCATGCCATACAGCAGCGGTTCAGTGATATGTGCAAAAAATAGTAACAGTTACACAATGCAGGGCATGCTCATTCATTAAAGTAAGGTTCATTTTTCTTTTTTATGGCTGCTTTATACATTTATGATCTAGTTTTGGAATGGATAACCATGACCTATGACAAAAGGTACATCCTTTGAGCCGATTTACAAAAGCAAACCTTTCAAATTACATCACATCTTATTTTGAAGCATGTGTTGTAGAATAGTACCATTACAAGCCCATTACTAAACAGTTTGAGTCTAAACATCTCAGGTAAAATTCTAAATGAAAGCCCTAAAAGTGTTGAAGAAATGATATCCCCTAATTTTTTCCATGTGCTGTAATTCTTCATTAATGATTTTTTTTTTTTTTGTAACTTACACTCCTTACTGTGAGAGGTAATGAAAGAAGTAAGGTTGTTCCTCAATAATATTTCTTACAGTCCGGAGTTCTCTTGCTATTTTGCTGTTAAGTATGAATGGATGAAGGAATAAATGTATAAATTAATTAATTAAATTGATACATTCAAATGGACATTAACCTCACATTGAACTCTAAAGGATGATGTACACTTTTATTTATGCCAGAGTTGTTCTGGAATTTGACCACTAGATGGCACCAGCGTGCTGCTTTAAAGTGTTTTTTTTTTTTTTTTTTTGGACCCAACCGCATTATAAACACACTGTTTGTTTGATAAAACGCAATATAAATAATTAAGGATGAGTTAAAAAATGGAAATTAAAATCAATAAAAAAATATATAAATTTCTTTTTTTACTTGATATTTTTCTAAAACCAAGTGAGGCACAAAATCACGAAAAAATACAAATCGGGCTAAGGTCTCATCAATTCAATCCGAAGATGTAACCTCCCCACACAAAAAAACAAAACCCAAAACAATTCCTCGCGATATTTCAACGTTAAATGA